TAATTGTCAGGTGCCAGCGCCAAGTTCCGGCAATTTCCGGTTGCGCCAAAGAGAGGAACCGAAAATGCGGCATACTTTTAGGCCATAAAAACAGGAGCAGAACGAGTCGAATGATGATGTGGGCGGCGAATGTCCAGCTCATAAATATCGTAACACCGAAAGCCGACCCGGCAAGCGAACAAGATTCTTCCATTAAAAGCTTAAACTATCTGCGTGGCAAATGTTTGCTCAAAAAGTTGGCCTTTAACAGCTCGTGGCCAGAATAAAATTGAATTACTACCCGCAAAGCCCCGAAATTTGGCTAAGAGCCTAAGTCGAAAAAAAAACTCCTTGAAGGTCTCGGACTCATCAATTAGCGGCAGAAAGTTTATTCAACTCCAGCGACGACGGGCTGGAAAATTTCGTGTGCGTGCCGCGAGTGCCTTAAGACATTTATAAAGACATTCCCTTTTATTAACCGAAATGCAGAGTGCAAAAGAGTGTTGGCAGGGAGAAAGATACAATAATTAGACGAGCAGAAAGTTCTTGGGGAACAGATTCCTCGGTAAACACATAGATCTGTACGTGAAATGAACCCCAATCCATCTGTTCCAATCCCGTGGAGATGGGCAATGCTACGTGACACATTGGATGGCTCGGCATTTGCCAAAGTGTTATGCACCAGAGTCCCCTGTACTGAGGGGGCGACTATCATGCAAATTGAAAATGCCAAATGCAAACAGTCGAACTGGGGCAGACAATCCGGCAGTATGACAGTTCAACAGTCATACATACCCATACCATTATCCCACTGCCATCCCGCACCCAGTATTTTCAAGAGCGACTCATGGCCAGACGCATAGACGCAGGCAGCAGTTGGAATAGAGTCGTTACGAGTATGTGTGTCTGTCTCTCTCTGTGTGTGTGTGTATTGTGTACTGATATAACAGTTTCAAGGTCCACACACACACACACACACACACACACACGAGAGGGATTAGAGGAAAGTATCCCATGGCTTTGTCGGTTTGAAAGAGAAAACGACAGCCACCAGGACATATGCATGTACATATGTACACATATGTATGTGGCAGGTGAAACGTGTGGGATCCCCAACAATTCCAGCTGGGAATATTTTATTTAACAAATAAAAACTTTAAGCAATTAAAAGTTAATTTTCCATTTTAAAGTACTAGAGGTGATTAATGCACACAACAAAAAAGTATAAAAACACATGCAAATAAGCCGCACGCACCTGGAATACCCTATATTATTACTACATTACTTACAAGGGTTTTTTAAACAGTTTGTTTGGTTGGGGCCCATGTCCTCGACTCCAGTGGCAGCCGCCTCTTTGTTGAGGAAAAGTAAATATTGACTTTTGACTGAAAAATGAGAGGCTGTTCAACGATGGGCCTACGGTTAAGTTAAAGTGGCATCTGATGATGACAGACCATCCCATCACATTCCGCTACAGTCCAGCACATGCAATCTCTTCCTTTCTCCCTGATGTACATACATATATGTTTTTGTGTGTGTTTCGGTTGTGAAAAAAAGCCGGACAGAAGTAAAATAAATGTAATCAAATGTTTATTTCCACTGCGTTTCGTTTCGTTAAATTCAATTCTCATTCGATATTATTATCTCTCTCTATCGTTGGCAAATCCATCCCAGCGGGAGAAGCGTTTTCCCCCCGATATGTACACTACAATTATTACACGCTACTCAAACGCATTCCAAACGTTTTTTATGGCACAACATAGCCGACCAAGCCTCAAGGGATGGACAAAAAGATGTAATAAATACATACGAGTATGAAATACCGTCTGCCCATCTTCATTTGGTTTGCGGCTCTGTTTGCATTATGTCGAGTATTGTTGAAAATATTTAATATTTTTCACATTCCGAGCATGGCAAACATGCCCATGTCATTGAAAGCCGAAATTATATTCGCATCGCTTGTTCCAAAATATCCGCAATGCCCAAAAGCCACTGAGGTTTTTTTTTTGCTTTATTGCTCCTCAGGGCATGCACCATTGATTTTAATTAAGTCCTCTGTTTCCCAATTTCATATATACAGAGATGGTGTAAAATGGACACCGAACTTTGTGCTATAACTAGGTACAGAAACTCCAAATTGCGAAGCTTCTCCCAGTCCCAAGTTTCAGCATTCTGCTTCGCCAGTCGGCGGGGGGATACTCGTATAGAAGTATTTACCCAGGGCGTTTTAACAGGGCGAGCAACAAACAACTTCTTGAGGTTGAAATAAAAAGTGTGTGCTGTGCTGTGCTGTGGGTTAAGAGCTTAAGAGAGGACGGCAGTAGGTCAAAGAGAAGGAACCCCGAATTTTTCGGAGTAAGTCCGAAAACACGTTGAATGTAAATTTTACAAACAAGTGGTTGCCTCAAGGAAAGAGAGAGTGCGGGGAAAAGAGAAAGTATCTCGAGCAATTACAAAGGAGAAACTTTAATTTATGTTAAGTTAGGTGGATAGCTGCCTTTTCTCCTGCTGAGTAAATACCAATGTGGGACAAACAGTAGTGATTATCTCTTTAAATTAAAGGATTTCACAATAATAGAAGGTTGTAGATTATACAAAATATTTAATCAAAATTCATTAGTGAGTTCCCGAAAGGTAGTAGTGGAGATTAAATTCTTAAAGCAGAAGGCACAACCGTGTACAAATGTTTGATAAACGCACACAAACTACCGCAGAACCAAGAGTACCGCAAGAGTCCAGGAAGCCACAACAGCGACTGTGTAGACTGAGCCTGAGTCTCACAGTCTGACGGAAAGGCGCCAACAAACAGAGATGTTGTGGAGAGGGGGCTCTGTATGGGCTGCGACAGAATCCGCTTTTGTTTATCTTCTTTAAACTAACATCAGGCACTTTTGCTATCTAATCCTGGCCAACCCGACGGCTACTTAATGTCATCAGTGTGCCACTCGCTGGCATTTTCAACAAGGACGTTTGAAAGTGCACAATGGTTCGAGGTTGGTGGGAGGATGTGTACGCGGTAGCGACCAAATGGTTGGGGGCATTCGGGAGTAGTGGAAGGTCGCCGACGTTAAACGTTTCCTTTCCCCCTTGAGGGCGCGAAGGCTCAGATTCGCAGAGTGCAAATTGAATAATCGTTTGCGCTTCGCAGCATTTACAAAAAGGGTCCTTTGAAAGTTCCTTTTGTGCTTGCCTGCCTGCCGGTCGTATCTGTATATGTATCTGTACATATATATGAGTGTGTTTGTGTCTGCCTCGAATATCGATCATCTAGGATGGCAGAACACACAATTGTTTGGGTTTTATTCACAAACATTCTGACCGACTTGTCTCAAGAGTTTTCTTTTCGATTTTCCTTTTCCCTTTATTGTTTGGGTTCGGAGCATGCAAAACTTTGCCTCAATTGTGTGCGTCTGTGTGTGTGTATGTGTGTGTGTGGCGGCTCTCGTTTGTCAAGTTTGTCATTTGTTGGACATTTATAAGCAAATCCGGGTCCGTTAACGGTGGGTCTTGTTAGCACACCCGAAGGGGGTGGCGAAGGTTTGTTGTGAAACTTTCAAGTAAATGGAATCGAATGGACATTCAAAACGCATGAATTCGGCTGTTAAAGCTTTCAAAATTATTTACAAGTTTATAAATAGCAAGAAAATTTTTATTTTATTTAAATTGGAAATTTGAAACTGAAGTGGAAACAGTTTGAGGAAAGTTTATATCTGCAGACCCAGACCAAAATATTCGGGATTAATTATTAAGCGGGATTAATTGACAGCTTACCCATTCGTACTTGAGAGGATTCATTCTTAAGAGTTGGTGAAATACTTCAGAGAGACTATCATTCTGTTTTACTAACCAGATCCTTTCAATAATCGCAGCGCACACTTTGCACTTATCTGAAACTTTAACAAACAATCCCGAGAAAAGGCAAGAGTCAGACCAGTGTGCGTTCAGCTGTTTACATTTGTCTTGGAAAACACTTTGGCAATCCCGGGAAGTTCGACTTGGCAAAGGCCAACAAACAGAGGTGGGACTTAACTTCTGTTCCACTGAAAGTTTTCGTGTGATAGCACTACACAGCGACCTTGAGATAAGAGATGAGGCATTCCCCTGCACCGAAAACAAGCGACCTTTTTTCGAATTGTATGTTAAGATGCGTTTGGGTACTTATATTATGATTTACATTTTTCATGAATGAAGTATTTATATTATGGCACATAGGAACCGGTTAGTATCCAATCGATATACATAAAGGAATATATAAATGCAATGGAAATGTTTAAAATACGCTCCTAAAAACGGGAAAAAAACGGGACCCTCAATGGACCGCGATTTATCAAGAATTTGTATACGTGCAGTAACTATTTGTCAGACTGTCAGACATTGCATACTGTATGCATAAACGTATACTTTATGGGGTCGGAAACTTTTCCTTTTCTGCGTTACACACATCCACTTTTACCACCAATCTAATATACCCCTTAACTCTTTTTGAGTACGGGTATAAAAAACGGATCACCAAAATTGTCTTTTTTTGGAGCACTGCAAAATGGTTGCCCTGCCTATGTACCTGTGCAGTGTAACCTGGACACAGATGTGTGCTCAGCATTTAATGATTGTCCATTGCTTCGGTTGGACATTTCTTAAGATAAATGTACGTGTACGTAAACATACTCGTACTATGTCGGCGGGCAGTGGAAATTCAATTCATGCTCAGCCATAGCCATTGACAAACAAAACGTGATGTATTTCGTGAAGCGGCCTAGAAAGTGCCGTTGATGTGCGAAGGTCGAAGGACTCAAGAGCTCGCATCCAGCCATCTCCGAATGTTTGTCTATGTCCAAGACGAAGATGTTTCAATTTTCAGCCATTCATTTAACAGTTGTCCGCCATTGTGATTTTTATGTGGCTATAAATTGTCGTCTTTTATTCCAATCTGTTGTTGTCTCTGGCCCTTGGTGGAATTTACGAGTATGAACAAAAGACTTAGCTATCCATAAAAAGAAAGAAAGAAAGACACACTCTGTCAATTGTTTTCCAATTTGTGTAATTTGTTGTTGTTTATTTTGTTTATAACTACATCAATAAATTATGTATCGTATCGTATAATTCATAATCATACTCTTTGAAAGCGTGAGAACATATTGGAATTGCGATCCGGCAGCTGGGTTCCTGATTCTGAATCGAATAGAATTGTTCATCTTGGGTCCTCTCCATGTAGACTTTCCCCACCTTTCCTCTCCACCTCTGAGATATCAGTTTATCTGTTTAGTTAAGCTTCTCTTTTAGAAGTCTTGGCGATTTTCAAAGAGTATATGTATGTCGAAACATCGGCCAGCCGAAGATAATTGAATTTCCGTTAATGATTAATCTGATGACATCGTAGATTGATTGTGGCTAACAATTATGGATCGTTTAGCTGTTCTATTACATCTTAGACATTTGCTTTAAGTTTAGTTTAGCTCGATATTAGCTTATTTGCCTCAAGTTACAATATTTTCGCGTCATATTTAAGTTATCTTAGAGGAAATCAATCAGTTTTGCAATAAGGTTTTCTGTTTAGAAATCTTCAATTGTGATTGGCTGGGCTTAGTGTGTATCTGTGGGGTGTGCCTCGGTGTGGTGCAGGGAGAATTGAATTAATAAGGCCACTTATCCATATATATATGTATGTGTGTATGTATGTATGCACTCGTATGTATATAGTAAATAGTCGATTAAGGACACAGACACATTGAACAATCCTCTAGCTCACCATCAGTTAGGCATCTCTGGATAAGCTTTCCTCTAGCCAATCACATCACATAATATTACATCATGTCATATCGAGTATCGAGTATCGCGTATCGTATCTATTGCCGAAAACATTTTAAGTTCTAGCCTTAACTAAAGTGGCCTTCTGGGATACATTTGCATTTGTGTGTATGCGGAGAGAAAGTGAGTGAAATTGCCTTTTAGTATTCGTAAGTGTGTCAAAATTGTGTGTGTGTGTGTGTGTGTGTTTGTTGGTTGTGAGAGTTTCAAATAGTTCTCTACCGATATTTTGTTTAATTAGTTTTTGTGTTTTTGTTGCGCTAATATTAAATGTTGAACAATATTTTTTGTTAGTGGCAGCTACATTGATATTTTTTTTTTGCATACTAATTTGTTCCGCTTAAGATGTAAGGATTGGATTCACTTGTGGCTGTTGCAACTTAAGTTGTTGTTTTTTTTTTCTGGGTAGTGCTCTTACTAGTGCTCTCGAGGTTCTGGTCTGTTTTTTCTTCCACTACACGTAATTTAATTTCAGATTATTCAGACGGTCACTCCACCCGAGGTTTAACTAATTAGCTACGTTTTTATTATTGTTATGTTCAGCTCAATTAATGCTTTCCCATGTACATTTCCATTTCAATCGACATATGCTCATAAAAAAACAACTTCGCGGCCCTCGCAGACCAATGGACTCTGGTTCAATTAACTATGTATGTTCGCTATAAACTCGCTATGTACTCGTATGCAACGTTTGCCGATTCGCCTCTTGGCTAAATGTACACTAACAAAGACATTTATCTATATATTGTATGCTTGTATCGGATGGGACGGGGACCCTTGCGATTAACTGATTCGTGTTATGGGATTCTGTCTATTAGCTCACCAACAAGTTGGATGGTGGGACTACGGGCACGGATTTGGGTTCGGGTATGGGTACGGGCACGGGGACGGGCACAGGCATGAGCACGGACCAGGCAAAGTGCTCTGGCAGTGAGGCATGTCCCATGTACAGGATTAGTGGGTAGGAGGTGTAGGTGGTAATACAGGGTTTACTTTCTTATGTACCAACGAAAATAGTCTAATTGTCGATGTAAAACACAGGAAATAAATAAAGACCTGGCATATCTAAAAACTAAACCGAATGGATATCTCATCATTAACATTAAAAACTATAATTCAAATTGGTTCACGTGGGAGCTGATGTAGAGCAGGCATATTTGGGGCCTCTTCGTGGTTGCTGTTTGCTGGTCGGCGGTCGCTGGTTGAGGTTGCAGATTGATGATGTTGGCTGTGCTGTTTAGTGATTGCTAAAGTAGAAGTTGCTGTTGCGTATGTTGCCTCGCGTTCGCCAACGGATGCAGCTGAGCAGAGCAACGCGGGCGGCCCGCAGTAGGATCTGTCCGTAAGCGCAGCAGGCGCAGACGCGACGCACACGCTCGGCCAGGTTGCGACGCCGGCAGCGACGGGTGGGACGATGCCAGCGGGGCAAGTCCTGCCGTCGACGCCGCAGCTGATGTCACTTGCGGCGCTGGAAGACGCGACGCAACGCTTTGCGCCAGAAAATGCGCTGAGATTTGGACTTGGGATATGGCTGCGACTCCTCCATGTGGGAAGCATTAAGATCAAGCATCTCTAAAACATCCCGCTCCGCGTCGTCGTTGATGATGCGCCGTCGCATGGGAGTGGCCGGTGCTGTGCGGGCCGTGGACGTTGAATTAGCCGCATGTGGATGAGGTGTGGGCGGAGCCGAGGCAGCCATGAACGGTGCTACCGAATAGGGACGAGCCCTGAGCGCTGCCATAGCTGCCGCCGACGTGGATGCAATTGATGAAATGGAGGCCAATGTGGCCACTGATGCCGATGACTCTATGTACGTTGCTCCTGCCTCTCTTAGTCCTACTGCCCCTGCTCCATCAGCTGCTGGCTGGGTGGCACGCAACCAACAACCAGGTGGCATCGTATCTTATCTAAGCCACGGATGCTGCAGACACTCCGCAGCGGTGGCTCGCTTTGCCGGATCGAACTCCAGCATGGGCTTAAGGAAGGAGGCAAAGGATTCCGCCTCGCTGTTCAACCACTCGTACTTCTCCAGCAGCACATCCATCAGACCCCACGGCTTCAGTCCCGTTATGTTGCGCAACTCCCCGCTCCGGCTGAATGTCTGCTGGGCATAGGAGCCGCGGAACACGATGTGACGGGGTATGGGGCCGAGCAGCTCTATGATATGGGCCAAGTGATCCTCGTCCCGGGAGTACGTATCGCCCGAGTGCGGCTCAAAAAGATAATCGCCTGTGGCCAGCTCGAATACCATGCAGGCTGTGCTCCAGATATCGGCCGATGTGTCGTAGCCCGAGCCCAAAATCACTTCGAGTGATCGATACTGCCGCGTCTGAATGTCCTCTGTAAAGTGGCGATCCACCCAGCAGGCATTGCCCAGATCGGCAATCTTCACGTGCACGTTGCACTCCTCCAGCGCCGGCTCACGCTTGGGCCGGTGCTTTGACAGGGGCGGTGGTGGCGCCGGGGGCACACCCGGATCGGAATACGGTCCATTGGTGGCCGACGAGGAGTTCGACACTGAGTTGCTTGAGATTTTCGAATTGCTGTTCGAAGTCTGCTTCGAACTGGAGTTGTTGTTGTCCAGTGGCTGATACGATTGTTGCTCTTGCTGCTTCTCCTGTTTGGGTCGAAGCGGCATCTTCTTGCCGTCTGACGCGCCATTTGATTGTCCTTTAAGTGTGCTGATGCTGTTGCTGTTGCTGCTACTGCCGTTGGTGTGGGCGCCGCTCTTCACGACATTGCTACTGTCGCCGCTGCTCGTCGAGTTCTCCAATTGCTGCTGAGGCAGCTGAGATTGCGGCTGGTTGGATTTGTCTGAGCCAAGAAGGATGGGGGAAGAGGTGACAATCAATAGACATCCACTGGAGGAAGAGGGATACTTACTCTTGTTCTTCCGTTTCTTCTTCTTTTTGGTTTTCTCGGTATTCTCCTCCGGTGGCTGGTGGCTGATAGTCTCTTCTTCCTGCTCCTCCTTAAGCACCAAAGGCTGCTCAACAGCCACATCTTCATCATCGCCGTCGTTCTCTTCTGGATCTTGTTCCACCTTCACGTCAACGTCCTCATCGCCATCAGAGATGGCAGCATCGCCGCCATTCTGCACCGCATTATGGTTAATGCCAAAGTCCGTTTGATCCTCAGCAGACGCATTAGCGTCTGCAGCAGCAGGCTGGCCGGTCTGCTCGAGATAGTCGCGCTGCTTCTTGAACAGCTCCATGCGCTTCTTGGCCTTCTTCTTGAGCTTCTTTTTCTTGTTCTTGCTCATCTTGCCGGTGATTTGGGGCTCGCGGTACTCCTTGGGCGCCCGACTGACCAGCGAGGGGTACATCTTCGAGTTCATGCAGTACAGCTTGGTTGCCTCCGTGGCCATGGAGCGCACATGCGGCTCGTCCACGCACAGCAGCACGTTCTCTGGCTTGATGTCCGTGTGGATGATTTTGCAGGCGGTGTGCAAGTAGTCCAGGCCCTCCAGTATCTGTCGCGTAATGGCCTTCACATTGGCCAGCGGTATGCCACGGTAATTGGACTTGCGGATGAGCTTCAGCAGATTGTCGCCCAGCACTTCGAACACCATGCAAATGTGCGTGCCGTTCACGCCGCTGATCTTGAAGTCATCCAGCATCTGGACGGTCTTTTGGCGACGCGGATTGGACGGATCCGTCTCGCGCACAGTTCTGAGTATCTTGATCTCATCCTTGGCCGTCTCGGCAAAATGCGGCGCCGACTTAACAATCTTGATGGCCACATAGCGCTTTTCCTGCAGATCCCAGCACAGCCAGACGGTGGAGAAGTGACCCCAGCCCAATTTCCGGATGACATGATAGCGACCTGGGGAGTAATAGTTAAATTAATGCTGTTGCTTCTCCAGGGTTAAAGTTCAAAATGGGCACGGAACCACTCAGAAAAATGAAATCGCAAATATCCGACTCTGATGGCAGCAAATCCATTTTAATCGCCCCCACTGACACTCCACGACTAACTAGCGCGAACGAGACTACATACTCTACATCATCTACCCTTGGATTAAATTCAATTAAATGCAGTCTGTCAGCAGTCAACAGTCATCAGTCGGCCTACTCCACCCCCCCCCTGTTATTTGTGGAACTCAGGGTGGACCTTTAAAAAGGGGATTTAGAACGAGAAAAGTTTGGCCCTGGACCTTATGTACTTCCTGGAAGCTGTCATTATGGGTAAATGTTTCATTTATACTTTTGAGGTTCTGCAACATCAGGAGACATGACTGAGAGAGATGGGCGGGACTGCGCTATTCAATTATGTTCATTCATCAGACGTTTAAGCTTTCATTAGCCCGTTATCGGGCTTTTTTTTATCGCTATAGAAGGTTTGACGGGGATTAGCTTTCATCAACTTTCAACTGCTGGGCAGGCAAATGGATTTGCTGGGGAAAACATGCAGCTGACAGGATGTGGTATCTGTGGTGACTACAGCGGGGGGCGGTGCTACGAACGGCTGCTCTCGGACATGCTATGCTGGGAATGAAAATGCTGCAGAGTGGATGCATCTGAAGGGGGGAAGGGATGGTATTGTGGGTGGATGTCAAAAACGTTGCCAGCCCCTTTTTACTGTCACTGTTGTTGCCGTTGTCACAACACGAGTTGCCCTGCCCCTCCTACTCAACGGAAAATCACCCCTGAAATGGGGACAGCAACACGCACGGACAGAATTCGATTTATCTGTGGGGAAGCTTTCGCACAGAGACCCATTGGCAACCTGTTGTTGTTTTTGTTGTTGTTATTCGTTTTTTTGGGGCGGAGGCCGAGGCCATGTTCGAAAGGCCAATATGGCCACGTAGCCAGGCATCTATCTAATTGAGCACCCAAGTGGGAATGGGCGTGGATGGAGTTGTGGGTTACCACGGTTGAAATGACAGGACAGCAGCCTGAAACTCAATTCTAGTTAGGTGGGGTGTGGTTTTGGGGGGGTTTTGGGGAGTGTGGCGTGCAAACAGGTGCCTGTCTTACCCTGAAAGAGGTCACCAATGTTGACTGGATGGTAGCCACCCTTGCAGTAGTCCTCCTTCAGCTCCTGCTCCTCGTTCTCGCTGTTCAGCTCCGACTCATACGACTCGTTCGAGGAGCTGCGCGGCGGCTGCTGCTGCTGCTGCTTTTGCTGTTGTTGTTGCTGCTGATTGTGATTGCTCTTCTTGTTCTTCAACTGTGATGTCAATTGCGATTGCAGCGGCGCCTGATAGTGGTTAGGGGTCTCTGGGGTGCTGCCCGATCCACCGCTCGACGTGGAGGTGGCCGTTGCCGTTGCTGTGGCCTTACTGAAGGACGTGGGGACAGCGGCGGGCGCCTTTCCAACGCTGCCAGACGGATGCAGTTCGGGCTTACTGGGGCTATTATTAGCATTTTCCGGTGCTGCTGCTGCTGTAGCACAGTTTTCAGTCTGGGAATTCTGCTGCTGTTGCTGTGGTTCCTGCGACGGATTCCCAGCTGCCACACCGTTCTGCTTGCCCCGCTTCTTGTTGTTCTTATGGCGCTTCTTCTTTGCTTGAATGGTCAAAACGCGTCGGTTGACGTCAGCTTTGGCGTTCATGATGTTCTTTCTATTGCTTTTCGCGTATTATATTCGCTTTTTCCGCCGACTCTCTGTGTGTGTGTGTGTGTGTGTATGTAACAGCTGTTGTGTGGAGTGAAAATGGGAAGAAGAAGAAACAACGTGCACAGTTCTCAATAAGGCAATGTACGATATATTACGCTTGTATTGTGTCTTTGCTGTATGCGCACGCCTTGCCAAAACCAAAGCCACACAGAGCCAGGCCCAGAGAGCCAGCGACAAATGGTGGGGCTTTCGGTTCGTCAAATCGAGCAACAACAACAACAAAAACCGAATCGTCTACTTGCCTCGGGGCTCCCACTTGTTCCAAATTGACACCGCGCCGCTGCTGCTGCTGCTTCTGCTGCTCCCGCTGCTTCTGCGTCTGCCTTTGCTCTGACAACTGGATTTCTGCACGAAAAATCGGGACCAAATTAGCACATTGAACGCTCACGAGAATGTCGGCAACAGATGCCAATTGCACAGCAAATGGTCTGCACTTCGGCTTAATACTATCAAACAGTGGATTGATTGCTCTTTTGGTACAGAAATGTATATTTTATTTAATGGAAAAATCAAATCAGTTTGGTTTGTCTCTGCTGTGTGTTGTGTGTTATCGAAAACAGGGCCTGCCACTTGGTAAACGACGTAACGTAAGCTCTAGCCCTTGCTCGCTCTCACGCTCACTGTGAAAGCCAGCCAGGTCTCTATTGCCGACTCGCTTTCGCCGCTGGCTGTAGTTAGCACACACACGTTAAAAGCATTTTTACGCAGTGAATAGTTTGCACGCAGCTCGTTTGTCGCCCTTTTATTATCGCTTTTTGCCAACTTACATGGTTCGGAACTAATCCAAATAGCAGACATTGCAAAATCGTGCAAATTTTACACGAGCACAGCTACAAATATTTTAGTGAGTTTATTTAGTATTTATTATTGCAGTGTTGTGTAGTATTTTAGGTATTTTAGTATATAATTTTTATTAGTATTTTTAGTATTATTATTGCAGTGCTGCAGTTTCAAACACTGCCCACGTTCGTGAGCAAATCGTGGCGGTTTTTCAAAATGTTTTCTCTTTTTCGTGGTGTGAGCCGCATGTACATAACGGGAACGCGTATTATTCATTGTTGCTATGTTCCATACGCATTCCCGTTAGATATTAAGAAATAAATTAGCAGCATAGTTGTGCAACTTTGGCACGAAATTTGCAACGAATCTGAATTCCTTGGGAGAATGGATATTATTTATTAGGGCTGAGAGGGCTAGCTAGTAAAATTAAACTGAATATCAAAATAATGGAATACGATTTCAATCAATAAAATATAACGATATCCCATCGTCGACCAGGGAGTATTTAATATTTCCACGAAATATATGTAACTTTAACATATTTTACGCATTACAGGTGAAAGATGTCGGTGGTAATTTTTGTTTTGTAAGTAAAGAGGAGGATGGAGCTACAAGGAGCCTTTACAATTTATAGGCCGGTGGGTGTTTAGTGGGTTAAGTCTCGTTTGATCGCCGGACTGCCCTGGTTTTTTATGGTATGGTATTCAAATGGTATTTCTCGAAACTGAAATGGTATTTATTTTTTGGCCTGATGGTATTTTTTATAGTTATCGGCGCGGTCACGCTGGTTCGCGTTTTGGCGCAATATTTTGGAGGGAAATCTTGAGAAAATTCGTGGCCCATTTGTAATTTGATCATTGCTGTGGCGCGACGCGTGCCGATTGATAAAGAAAAAATAAGAGAAATAAGAACCAAGACGCGAGCAAAGACTGGACGTGCCAAAAGTGAAATAAGCATACAACTTAAACTGCAACTATTAATCAGACCACAACACACAAAGAAATGGCCCAGCCATCGGTAGCAGCATTTTTTACTAATCGCAAACGCGCCGCTCTCGATGATGCGATCACAACCAAGAACCGGGTAAGTTGCACCAGGAACGTGACAACAGCCAAGTGCCGTGTCCAAGATTTCCAGATACTTTTGTATCTCCACCAATGCAACGCTTGCCCGCATGCGATTGTTGTTGTTGAGTCTGTGTATGTGTGTGTTTGTGTTTGTGTGTGTGTGTGTGTGCGTGGGTGCGACGGCATCCTGCGGCCATTTTCGGAATTCATATTTTCATGGAATTCCTATTTTTGACCATTGCAGCGCCTGTTGGAGCCAGCAGAGTCTGCCCAGCCGCAAAGCCAAGATGAGGACATCGACACGCTCAAGGCGTCGGCCAGCGGGATGCGCACACGCTCGGGTCGCAACACCAAGCTGATTGTGAACCCTCAGGAGACGGCGAGCAAGAAGAAGCCAGCCAAGCTGGAGCCGCACATCAAGCAGCCCAAGCTGGTACAGTTCATTCGCAAGGGGACGCTCTCGCCCAGGAAGCAGGCGGCCACCAAGATCGACGCGGAGCAGCTGCTGCAGCCGGTGAACGAGCAGACGCCCAAAGTGAGCTTCACCATCACCAGCCAGCAGAATGCGGACAACATGCAACGGGGCATGCGCACGCCCACCAAACAGATCCTCAAGGATGCCTCGCCCATCAAGCACACATCCAGCGACCTGAAGCGCCAGCTCACCTTCGATGAAGTCAAGAGCAAGATCTCGCGCAGCGCCAAAATGCAGGAGCTGAAGGCGGTCTTGGCCCGCAAGGCGGCCCTCGAGCTGAAGCGCAAGGAGCAGGAGGAGCGCAATCGTCGCCTGCGCGAGTCCGGCCCCTCCCCATCAAAGCGGAGCCTGGCTGTGCAGCTGAAGGAGTTCGACACCATTGAGCTGGAGGTGCTGACAAGGTAAGAATCACAATAAGAGGAATAATGCAAAATTTAAGATGGCCTTGCACTGCTATTGCTGCCTTCCACAATAATTTCCAACTGTGGTTTGCTGTGGCCTAGAATCGGCGCAAACAGCGCCACAGTCGAGTACAGCTGGCCAGCCAAAAACCGGGTAACATCAATACCGAAAGCCAAATGCCCAGTCAAATTGTTGCTGTCTCTGCTGCAATCGAGGTCGCTCTGGGTCGCTCCGAGTCTCTCTGTTATTCAAGCGTCCAATTGCTGAAATGGCATTTCTCCAGCAAGTAACCAGCGACCGACGACTGGCTCGACCCATCCATCGCTATGATACAAAATTCTCATGTACTTGAATTTATGTATAGCAATGCATGTTTACCCTTCGCTGACGCTACATTCCCGGCCTGACCTTCCCTCTCGCTTTCCCCTCGGGGGTTGTTTCCAATGCGTGTCCTTTTTTTATGATTGTCTGCTGCATGGGAATGTGTGTGTGTGTGTGTGTGTGTGTATCTGTGTGCATGCCTCAGGTAGCGGAAACCTTTATTTTTGTAACGGCTTTTCTGCCTATTTGGGGTGGGTCTAAGAATAGGAATTATTTCGAATAGGAACTGATTATCGTTTCCAACCAACCCCTGACTTTGCAGCCCCCTGAAGACCTTCAAGACGCCCACGAAACTGCCGCCACCCACACCGGACAAGCATGAGCTGATGTCGCCGCGGCACACGGACGCCTCCAAGCGCCTGCACTTCAGTCCGGCCAAGAATGGATCGCCCGTCAAGCTGGTGGAGGTGCCGGCCTACAAGCGCTACGCCAGCCTTGCGGAGACCAGCAAGGCCGGGCAGCTCCCGCTGCCGTACAAGTATCGCTACTTGCTGGACGTCTTCAAGGGCCTGGACTCGGTGGTAGCCATGTTCCACAATCGCAAGGAGTGCATCACGTTCAAGAAGCTGAAGCCGGCGGTACAGCGAATGCTGCGCAAGAACTTTACCGAGCTGCATCTGGCCCAGATCAAGGCTGTCTATCCCGAGGCCTTCATCTTTAGTCAAATGAAGATGCGCAACTTTGGCTCGGTGTCCAAGGCGGATTACTACCAGCTAATGATCAGCCCCAATGTGGAGCCGGTGCCGGAGCAGGTGCAGGACCAGCGGCAGCAGCAGCAGCGCCCCAACAAGATCAACGAGGACGATGTGCTCGCTTCGGCCCAGTCGACGTCCATGAATCCACACGTCATGACGTCGCGCATGCATCGATTCCAGAACCTTCTGCTCGATCGTGTGAAGCAGGCGCACGCCAAGTTCCTGCGCTCCCTGGACCCCCCGATCTTCATTGAGAAGGCGCTGACCCGCTGGCACCCCCAGTTCGAGCTGGAGAACTGTCCAGAGGTGGAGTTGGCCCCGCTGCCCCAGCCCCCGAATGTGGAGAAGTACTCTTCGGCCAAGGACATCCTCTCGACGGCTCGCAATCTGTTCAACTGCGCCACGCCTATGGAGAGGACGATGGATCGCTACGATGCCAAAGTGGCGGCAGACAAGCAAGCTGCTGCTGCTACTGCTGCTGCTGTTGTTTCCACTGCCTCTGCTGCCTCCTCCAAGTCTCCAGATAAGCAACAACCGCTAAAGAAAACAGTACCAGAGGGAACGGGAGAGGGAGCCGGAACAGGGGAAACAGCAATACCCGAAACGTCTACAGCCACGCCCACGGTGAAGGAGTGCACTGTCCCAGACGCCACCTCGAATCTGCTCAAGGGCCTGCCCAAGTCGCTGATCGAGAAAATTCGGGCCAAGCAGGCGGCTAAAGCCCTGGAAGCCATGACGAGGCGGCCATCGCAGGACCAGGAGGCAACCAAGTACTCGCGCCTGCCGGAACTGGCGCGACATCTGCGCAACGTGTTCGTGACGGAGCGCAAGGGGGTGCTCACCCTCGAGGTAATTATCACGAAGATCCAGAACAGTTTCCGAGCCAACCTAACACCCCAGGAAATCGAGACACACCTGAAGCTGCTCGCCAAGGAGCTGCCCGCGTGGGCAGCCTTCCACGAGGTGCGGAAGACCATGTACCTGAAGGTCGCCAAGGACATGGACATGAACAAGATCATCGAGAAGCTGGAGAGCATAGCGAATGGGAAGACCACCTGATAACCGATACGGGAATTGGAACTGGAACGGAAACGGGAACGGGAACGGAAACCCGGCACCGCATCTTCAGAGCCCGCCCATCATTGACCCTGTGGCCACATCCAGCTATATATTTAAGTACATGTTTAGCTAGCGAATTCTTTATTGAAACCACATTATACCTACACACATATATTGTTATTCTTATATCACACCTGACATTCACACCAACTAAATAATTGACAATTATTTCGCAATCGATTCATCACATTTAGATATACATAGATATAGAAACGTTTATAGTACTATTAAGATCATTTTTCATGTTGTAATACGTTAATAAATAAATGTTTTTGCTGGATTTGCCGCATGTTTTGCTAATTTATATCTCAAATCCCCTATAATGAGTTATAATGGCTATGGGTTTCATGGAAAGAGATATTCAGAGTATGTCACCACCACATACGGAAGGGCTGCTGATGCTTTCTTCCATGCGTATTTGTCCATTTTATTAACTTGGGACCCTTTGGATATTAGATAGATTCGACTTCTGACATGATATCTACATTGCACAGTGGCGCCACTATCAATCAGCTGCGCCAGCTGGAACTAAATCGCATATGAAGAGCGTTTGGTCACACTGGGCTTAAAAACGCGCCAGAATTTATAGGAACAAATGTTTTGTTTTGTTTTTTTTTAATGAAATAAATCGAATACCGGTCAACTGAAATGTCAGAGAAGGAAGAGGATGTAGAGCTGCCAGCACCCACCACAGCTGTATCCGGCCAGATAAAGGCCATTGCCAAGGACACTGTGCATAAAATCTGCTCCGGCCAGGTACATCTCTCAAAAAGGGTCTGTATATATTGGTTGATTTCTTTTCCCCCATTTCAGGTGGTGCTCAGCTTGGCTGTGGCTGTCAAGGAGCTGGTGGAGAACTCCATCGATGCAGGGGCCACGCTGGTGGAGATTAAGTTGAAGGATCAGGGACTGCAAGGCGTCGAGGTCAGTGACAATGGCAGCGGCGTGGTGGAGGCCAACCTGGAGGGAATGAGTATGTAAGTGGAAAACTCGAGCCAAAGCAAACTCTAAAGAGCTGTCTTCAACAGCTGCCAAGTATCACACCTCGAAAATAAGGGAATTCGTTGACCTGCTGGGCGTGGAGACGTTCGGGTTCCGTGGCGAGGCACTCAGCTCCCTCTGCGCCCTGTCCGACATGGCCGTTCAGACGCGTCACCAGTCCAGCGATGTGGGTGAGTCACCGAACCGAATCCTTGGGGCGCATAAACTCTGTACGATTAATGTTCGCCCCCAATGGCAGGTCTCAAAGTGGAACTTGACCACGAGGGCAAGATCAAGAAGCGTTCGCCCTGTGCCCGCGCTGTGGGCACCACCGTCAGCCTCTCCAACCTATTCAGCACCCTGCCAGTGCGTCGGCGCGACTTTACGCGCAACATCAAGAAGGAGTTCGCCAAGATGTGCCAGATCCTGCAGGCCTACTGCCTGGTGACCAAAGGCGTGCGCATTATATGCAGCAATCAGACGCCCAAGGGAGCCAAGACGGTGGTCCTGCAGACACACGGTGCCCAGGATGTGCTGGCGAACGTATCCGCGGTGTTCGGGGCCCGCCAGGTGGCCGACATTGTGCCCCTAAAGTCGCCCTTCGAAAAGGGCCAGCTGAGCGAGGCCGGACTGCGGGCTGAGCTGGAGTCCTCCGCGGATGCAGCTGACACGACTTGCACACAGTTCAGCGCCGAGGATGTGGAGCGGCTGAACCAGGCCGATTTCCGGCTGGAGGGCTACATATCCAGCTGTCGCCATGGGGCAGGCCGCTCCAGCAGGGATCGCCAGTTCTTCTTCGTCAACGCCAGGCCCTGCGATCCCAAGAATGTGAGTGGATCATCTGTCCCCCTTCGCCCCAGAGCATAAGTCTGATTTTCTCTGAATTTGCAGATTGCCAAAGTCATCAACGACACCTACCATCGGTACAACGTCCAGCAGCAGCCTTTCGTCTACCTCAACATTGTCACGGCCCGGTCCGACGTGGACGTCAACCTCACGCCCGACAAGCGCCAACTGCTGCTGAACAACGAGAGGATCCTGCTGCTGGCCCTGAAGAAGTCTCTGCTGGAGACCTTTGGGCAGACCCCATCCACATTCCAAATGCAAAACACAACCATTGTGAGCATGCTGGAGACAAGGCCGAAGCAGACCCAGGCCCAGCCCCAGCCCCAGCCGCAGCCCGAGGATGCCAGCAAGGCTAGCGAGGAGGATGAAGAGAAAGAGGTGCCCATCAGCTCCTCTCAGCGTTTCATGGACGTGCTCACGCAGTGGCGACGCACGGGAGACACCCAAGGCACTGCTCCGACCGCTTCGGTCAAGCGGCGGTGCGGGGAAAGCGAGCAGTTGGCCGCTCGCTCCATGAAAATGCAAAAGATCCAGGATTTCCTCAGCCAAGAGCCGCCCCAACAGCCGAGTCTAAAATGCGATTCAGTGTCGGAGGAGGATCTTGTCGCTGAGCCAACCAAGCCGGAAAATCTGAATGAGAGTTTTTTGAACCTCAAGGAACTGGAGACGGAGTCAAAGGGTGAGCATGCTGTCTAGGGAGGCTCTCCTTTCTACTCACCTTGATTTTACTGCAGCCTACGATCTGTTGACGCAGCCAGCCAAGGCAGTCCGCATTGACTGCAAGAATTTGACGCCAATGAAGACGCGGCTTAGCGTTTTAGAGTCAATGCCTCTCTGCGGGCCAGAGCCAGCCGGTAGCTCCCAGGAAACTGTCAGCGCCACGGATCAGAGTGATGATGACGATCATATCGAGCTGCCCACGCGCATTGAGTTCGATGGCAACGACGATGACGGCGCGGGGGAGCCGCCAGCCAACTACAAGAGCGGGGAGCTGCGAACCACAATCGAGGCGATTGCAGCCAGCCTAAGGCAACAGGAGGAGCAGCAGAAGGAGCGCCAGACGAGGGCAAAGCTGCAGCGGCTGCGCTTCAAGAGCGAAATCAATCCGAATCAGAACAACAAGGCGGAGGACGAGCTGCAGAGGGAGATCGCCAAGGAGGACTTTGCCCGCATGGACATTATCGGGCAGTTCAACCTGGGCTTCATCATTGTCAAGCTGCAGGACGATCTGTTCATTGTGGACCAGCACGCCTCCGATGAGAAGTACAACTTCGAGACGCTCCAGCGCAACACCCAGCTGGAGTATCAGCGTCTGACTGTGCCCCAGTCCTTGGACCTGACGGCCGTCAACGAGATGGTCCTCATCGATCATCTCCCAGTGTTCGAGAAGAATGGCTTTAAGTTCGAGATCAATCATGAGGGTGAGTGCCAGTTTGTGTCCAGCGGCAGGAGATTTAAACCTCTTCAATTCTTTTCTCTACTGCAGCTCCCGCCACGAAGAAGGTGCGACTGCTGGGCAAACCCTATAGCCGACAGTGGGAATTCGGCAAGGAGGACATCGATGAGCTCATCTTCATGCTGCAGGATGCCCCCGAGGGCACCATCTGCCGACCCTCGCGTGTGCGCTCGATGTTTGCCTCTCGCGCCTGCCGCAAATCCGTGATGATTGGCAAGGCTCTGAACAGGACGACCACCATGAGGCGGCTCATCACCCAAATGGGGGAAATCGAACAGCCCTGGGTAAGAAGGGGGAAGGTGGGGAAGGACATATGTATAGTAGGATATAAAATATATTAAGAGATTGCTCCGGGTCGCCGCGTCTCGTGCAGTTTTAATCTGCTAAGCAGGAGGAGCAGCGAGCTAAACAGTGTGGAGATTAGAAAGCAGGTGCAAGCGGAAAAGAGAGGAAAGAGGAACGTGATAGGGCCAGATGTAGAGGCACAGTGCGGCCAAGCAACCCTAGTCCTGCTCCAGAAGAGAGATCTGGCCATCTCTCAGTGGGCGTGCCATTGCAACAGGCACAATTAATTTCCATTTCCTGCGGGATTACTTATTGATGGATAACCGTGAAAAAGTTTAACCCAGCTCTGCCATGGCAATCGTCTGGCAGAGTAGAGGAGAGCTTGCGCGTGTGAAAGGAATCATTTTCTTGCTTAAATATGGAATACTTATTCATAGATGGACTTTATGGACTTTATTGTAGAACTTTACTTCTAAAGCCTCTGGACACCAACTCCGCCACCTTGGATACCTCCCGTCCACGCGTCTCGGGCAGGTAGAATTTGGTCAGCAGAAAGACCAGGAAGCTGCACGTGCCGAACACCAGAAAGACATTGGATCCGAGGAGTGCATGCATGGCGGGAAAGAGAAAGCCAACGAGGAAATTGCATCCCCAGCCCACCTGGTTGCCAATGGACAGGGCCACCGAGCGGGAAGGCACCTCGAACATCTCTGCATGGAGTGGAAAAGAGCAACAACAAAAATAGGAATGGCAGATCCCAAGTCTGGGACTACTTACCCGCTCCAATGAACGAGGGCATGGGGGCCAGGGCGAGTTGGAAGGCGATCAGATAGAGGAAAATGCAAGCCATTGTGCCGTACGAGAACCAGGGTATCTGGGCCTGAAATTCCGGAATGAAATGGTATTATGAGGATTGTTTGTGTGGCGAGGATGCGGCTGGGCCGAAGCGCTCACAGTGTAGTGCACCATCAAGCCAAAGGAGAACATGAGGAGGCCGCAAAACGCAGTGGACAGCAGCATCAGGGTGCGTCTGTTGAACTTGGCCATCAGAAAAGGACCCATCAGCGAGGTGGCCAGGTTGGCGTTGCCAGCGGCCAGATTCATCCACTCGGCGGCGCTCGCCGAGAGCCCGCCATTGCGGAAAATGGACACGGAGTAGTAGAAGATCTGGAATGGACGAATGTTCTCAATACGAGCGGGCCAAAACGAGAGCCAAGGATTACCGCTGAGCATCCGGACAGCTGCTGGCCGCCCTGATACGCGCATAGAAGGACGAGGGGCAGCAGCATCCTTGGGTCGCCCAGAACCTCGACCAGACTGCGGGTTGTGCCCTTGTCGGAGGCCTCGTCGTCCATGGCGCGTATCTCCTGCTCTATGCCGAGATCAGAGCCGCGCAGCCGGATGAGCATCTGGATTGCCTCCTCACGCCGCGCCCTCACGATGTACAGCCACTTGGGACTCTCCGCGTACAGGCGGAACGGAGCGTAGCACAACGCCATGAAGACCACGTAGAAGCTGAGGGCAATGTGCCAGAGCTCCTCGCCGCCGAACAGCGACTGCAGCGTACAGAGCTGCGACACCACCATGCCAATGGAGAAGCCCACGGAGCAGCAGACTCCCAGCGTGCCCCGCTGCGACAGCGCCGCAATCTCGCTGTGGTACATGGGCAGACACGTGCTGACTAGACCGCCGCCCAGGCCGACCACCAGGCGACCCAGCAGCAGCAGCTCCACGGACCGCAGCCAGCGACAGCTGAGGAACATCAGGGCCGCCACGAGCAGCAGCGATCCACTCAACATGAAGCAGCCGCGGCGTCCGAAGCGATTGGCCGCCCAGCCAGCGCAGGCGGCGCCAAGGACCCCGCCAATCAGATAGATGGCCACAATGAGGGCCCACAGCGTATCCAAAGTTGTAGGGGAGATCTCCAGGCCATAGTTCTCAAGGAGCATGGCCTGGCACCAGGACCGCATGTGCTGAGAATCGAAAACACGCGTAATCCAGCTGCATTCGGTGTGCGGGAGATTAACATTAGCTTACCGCAGCCGGAGTGTTGATGACGCCCATGCAGTAGCCGCAGGGGAGGGCTGATCCAATGGTGCTGCCCACAGTGCTCCACACCAGCAGTGCCGTCCAACGGGTCCTGGGCTGTTTCTTGAGCTCCACCAGAGCGTTGGCACTTTCCACCTCCATCATGTTCTGCGGCTGTGGCGAAACTGCCTGGCCAGATGCTCAACCATTTTATTTTATCTCCTTCTCACGTGCCTCACGTGCTAAGTTGTGGGGATTTATTGGCTCAGACATGGGGTGATTTACTGGACTTAGACTTAGACTAGGAAGATTGGCTCGCACTGCGGGTGCGCAAGACTTTTGATTTAAAGCCGTCGGCGACGAGCGGAGCCACCTCGGATGGATCGCGGCCGCGGGTCTCCGGCAAGTAGCGTTTGGTCAGCACAAAGAGCAGCAAGCAGGTGATGGAGAATGGCAGGAAGACCAGGGCGCCCCAGGCATTCTGCAGCGTGGGAAAGGCCATGCCGATGATGAAGCTGCACAGCCAGTAGACAACACTGCCCAAAGACATGGCAGCCGGACGCGGAGACACTTCGAACAGTTCTGGAAAAGGATGTAAGGATTAGATCCAGAGAGAGATGCAAAAGGTTCGTCGTGTGTGTGTCTTACCAGCGCCTATGAAGAACGGCATGGGTCCGAGACCGAACTGGAAGAAGAATATGTACAGGAAGATGCAGCCAATGCAGCCGATGGCAAACCAGCTAAAGCTCTCCTGAAAGAATCGCACAAATTAGAATCCGAGTGGGACACTTCTGTCCAGCAGCACTCACAATGAAGTAGAGCATCATCGCGAAGACAAATAGGCAGACGGTGCAGAAGAAGGTGGAGAACAGCATCAGCGGGCGGCGATTGATGCGCTCCAATAGGAGCGGACCCAGCATCGAGGTGGCCAGATTGAGGGATCCAGCACCCAGATTGGCCCACTCCGCCGCCTGCGTGCTCAGCCCCGCCTTGCGGAATATGGAGACAGAGTAGAAGAATATCTGCAAGGCAGGAGAAGATTAATGCTGCAGGACTGCTGCAGGACACTGTGTCACACCCACCGCATTGATGCCCGACAGCTGCTGGCCGCCCAGAAAGGCGCAGACAATGATGAGTGGGAGGCGCAGCCGGGGATTGCGCAACACCTCCACGAATCCACTGGCCTCCACCTTGGCCGATGCTTCCAGCTCCATTTCGTCGAGCTCCGCCTGCAGGGCCGCGCTGTCCGGGGAATAGCCCCGCAACAGCTGGAGCTGTTGCCTGGCCTCCTCCTTGCGCCCCTTGACTATGTACAGCCACTTGGGGCTCTCGGGATACCACCTGAACGGGGCATAGCAGAGCAGTACGAGCAGGCCATAAAAGGCCAAGGCAATGTGCCAACGATCTGCCCCACCGAACAGCGACTGGAGGCTGCAGATCTGGGCCACCACCACGCCCGCAGTCAGGCCCATTGCGCAGCACGGTGACAGGGTACTTCTCTGGGACAGGGCGGCCAGCTCGCTGTGGTACATGGGCATGAAGGCGGTGACTAGGCCCCCCGCCAGCCCCACCAGCAATCGGCCCAGGAGCAGCAGCTCCACGGAAGCCAACAAGCGGCAGACAGCGAAGCAGACGGCACCAAGGGCGAGGATCAAGCCGCATATATAGAAGCATCCGCGACGTCCAAAGCGGTTGGCGATCGAGGCGCCCGTCACAGAGCCGATGGCTCCGCCCACCAGAAAGATGGAGACGATGGCCGACCAGAGCAACTCCAGGCCAGAGGCTTCCAGGTGCAGGTCATAGCGCGTAATCAGAGTTTCGTTGCACCAGGAGCGCATGTGCTGGGAAGGAGAACGGTTTGGGATTATGCTCCTCCTCCTCCTCCTCCTCCTCCTCCTACGAGTGGAGAACTCCTCCTCTTACCACGGCGGGACTGTTCATGACCCCTGTGCAGTAGCCCACGGGCACGGCTGCTCCAATTGAGGATCCGATGCTAGCCAATTTGAGGGAAAAGCTCCATTTGGGCTGATCCTGCTGGAAGGGTAGGGTCTGGGGTGGTGGGGTGGGTCTTCACGCAACAAGTTGTTCATCTCACCTGGATCTGTTTCTTTCCGTGTGCCATCAGTGGTGCCTCTGCCTGTCTCAATGATTGCTCCTCCGGATGGTCGCTGGCTTTTGACTTTTCCATGGCGTTGATGCTGGGCGCAACTTGTCTTTATGGGCGGCTGCTTTTGTCGCGAAGAATCACGCTGGTCAAGAGCTTCATGCGGAATGCTGCGATCGTATTTCATTTTCGTGCACCAGAGCCCCAGTCGCACAGTCCCAGGGGCCCACAGGGAGATTAAGGTGCCGTTTATGCGGCGCCGAGCGATAACCGCTGCCAAAGTTATCCAAATATGACAGGGGAATGACTACAGGGGCGGACTGCATCGCGGGGGGTATGGGCTAATCTCTGTAGTTAACTTTATCGGGTGATAATACTTTAAGTGCATCAGCGGGTGGGTAGGGGGGCGCACTATCCATCTATCCATTGATCCATCCATCCCTATGGCACTGCCCAAGTTCGCTTCCGCCCCCGCGACTGTCATGATTTATAATGGGCCACATGTATCTCTTATTCGCAGAACTGTCCGCACGGTCGCCCCACCATGCGTCATCTAATCAATGTCACGATGCTAATGGATGAGGAGGAGGATGCTGGTGATGCGGAGGCAGCCCCGGCCCACCAGAAGCCCCAATAAAAAGCAATCTCGGCAATCACAGATTTCGCTTTACGGTTTATTTGCTTTGTAGTAAAGTGAGGACGTGGGCGGGAGGGTAAGTTGGAGGCACGACATGACACACGTGCACGGGGGGCTATCAGTGCGGACTAAACGCTGATAGTGCGGAAGATATTGAAGCCGCTGTGGGCAGTGGAGAGCAGGACGCCCGGCAGCTGTGCATGCCAGTGCAGCTCCTTGATCTCCTTCTGGCCCTGGTGGATGAAGAGCAGCTGCGGCGGCAGCTTGTTGACCTCCTCCTCGTTCTGGGCCTGGGCCTGTACCTGATCGGCGTCCTTCTCGACAGCCAAGTCCCACAGGGCGATTTGATCGTCATCACCGCCCGAGGCCAGGACTGTGGCTTCGCTGGGACTCCACTCCACAGTGGTGATGTGGTCCGTATGATGCTTGAAGGTGGCGATGGGCTTCTGGCTCTGGAACTGGCGCAGATCCCAGATGTGCAGGAAGCCATCGTCGCCGCCGCTGGCGATGAAGGGCTCCGTGTGATTCCACGATATCACATTTATGTCGCTCTGGTGGGCATCCTGGCAGGTCAGCATGCAGGCCTTCTGTGGTGCCGCCCGGCAATCCCAGATGCGAATGCTCTTGTCCACCGAGCAGGATGCGAGAACGCTGCGCTCGTTGGGGCTCCATTGCAAGTCCTCGACCGATTGTGTATGTCCCGCCAGCGGACGTTGGTCCACCTTCCAGGTGCCATCCTCCAGAGGGCTCCAGATGTGAATATCGCGACGACAGTCGCCCGTGGCCAGCACACCCTCGGCACTGGGACTCCAGTCCACCGCAAAGCCCTCCTGCTGGTGGCCACTGAACGTGAAGACCGGCCGTGTCTCGTTCTGTTCGTATTGCTTGAGCAGCTGCGCATCCTCGACCGCTTGCAGCGGCTGTGATAGATTCCAGATGTTCACGCGTCCCAGCTCACTCCAGGAGGCGGCATACACTGTGTTGCCCAGACGACGGGCACGGACACGGTTAACGCATCCCTGGTGCTTAATCAGGGCGCAGGTCATCTGTGGTTTCTTCAGCTCCTCCTTGTCGGGCACATCGTCCTGGTCGTCCTCCAGTTCCTCATCATCGTCCTCTGCCCCATCGTCCTGGGTCCTGTGTAGGTTGCTCATCTTCATCACAATCAGATTGTTGACATGGGTGCGGGACGCTTGTGTGCCCGCCACAATGTAGGCGGTCATAGGGAATGACTCGCGGCTCTTGCCCAGCTCGTCCGGAATGACATCAAAGCTCAGACAGGGCGCCCCAGTGGAGGCCTGGTGCAGCATTACATATGCACTCTCGTCGCAGACCAGCTCCTCATCCTCGCCCAGTGTTTTGCCCGGCAGATAGACTTCTTTGGGTTGTTTCGGTGCGGAGCCGTCTTCCGACCCACCACTGTCGCTTTCCGGCTCTGTGTCGGTCTCGGCGTCTTCGGGCTCCACCACTTCCATGCTCAGCTCTTCGTTTTCGGACTCCATGGTTTGTTATTTATGGTTGTTTTTATGGAATTCGGGATATTTATTAATTTTGACCACGTGCGTCGCTTCGTTTATCGTTCCTAGCAGTGTGACCAAAGACAATATAACAATTAAATGATTTATGATTTGATCAATAAGCAAATGAAAATGAGTACTTATAATTAGCTAATCTTTGAGGAAATTGATTAATTAATTGCAGGAAAATATATGTTCAGCGCTCAGAGTCATAGCTTACCGAATATTAAAATCGAGGAATATCAATGCATCAAAGCTTGTTGTGTCATCAGTATATTTACGGTATATTTTGATAATGACAAGGAATATTTCAGAGGGTCAGGCGGTATATTTTGTCGATAACTCCGCTGTCACACTAGTCACATTACTCGTGCAAAATTTAAGAAAATAATTATTTTTTTTCCATATTCTCTTGGAATCAAATCCATTCCATCAAAATGGTGAAGACAGGAAATCCCCTAAATTTGATACGCGGCATTTACAATAACGAGTTCCAATGGTGAGTGCCCACAGACACAAGGAATTGTGTCCCCGTAGGAAGACTTTACATAATCTGAATCTCCTTTGGCAGGATGCTGGTGAAGAGCTATGCCCTCTTCTTTTTGGGTGTCCGTGTGGCCAAGGAGCTTGTGGGCCTGGAACTGATGCCCGCCGTGGGACCAGCGTAGACGCAAACACGAAACACACAAAACCAAACATATATGGCAGTTAAAGTTAACTAGTTTAATAAAAGGCGGATAGAACGACTATGTATTTACACGTGTGTCTAGGTAAGGGATTGGATTAGCTTCTGCTGACTATCAGTTCCTTGATCTTGGACTCGTCCGTGTCGATCTCGTGTATTAGACTATTGGCCAGCACGCTGGGCGTCATCTCACGCTGCAGGAAGTTGGCCACCAGCTGCCTGCTGGGCACCGCGCCTCCATGGGCCAGAATCTCCGCTCGGTACCTCTCTCCAGACTGCCTGTTGAAGGGATTATCCTCGAAGTAGGTCTGCCATATCCAGGAGGCAATCGTCTTCGATATGAGATAGGCGTAGTATTTCGCACCGTAGCCGACAAGGTGGGAGAAACGCAGTTGCCAGGCCGTGTTCTCCACATGGGGCAGTCCGTAGTAGCGGTTCTGCACAGCCTTAAGAATCTCCGTGGTGTTGCCGCCCCTCTGTGCCATGGCCCCGTGATACTCCTGATCCAGTGCCGAGTAGAAGACCTGCAGCTGCGTCTCGCTGGCCGCAAATAGATGCTTTGAGGCGCACAGCCGCTGCAACATGTCCTCGGATATGGGCTTGTGCGTCTGGAAGTGGCGGGCGAATGTGCGCAGCACGCGGGGGTCGCTGGCAAAGTACTCCATGAGAACACTGGGAACTTCCGCAAAGTCCGTGGCGCATCGTGTGCCCGTCACGTGCTGGTACTCGGTCCGCGCCAGCATCGAGTGCATGGCATGGCCCATTTCGTGGAATAGATTATCCACCCGAGCAGGCGACAGCAGAGTCGGTCCAGTCCATCGGGGTTGCGCCAGTCCCAGCATAACCACAACGATGGGCAGCTGATAGGTCCCATCGGGCAGCCGCTTACCTCCTTGGATGGTGAAATGACAGTCCTGGTTGGGCTTGCCGCTCCGCTCGAAGAAATCGCAGTATATGTAGCCAAGCAGACCCTCGCTCTCGTGCACCACGGCCAGCTTGTAGATGTCGCTGTGCCAGGACTCGCCCGGCTCCATCTCGCTGTTCTCCAGCCGGACACCGTACAGAGCTTGGAGGAGGTTGTCCAGGCCCTCCATGCAGCCGCCAAGCGAGAAGTACGGGAGGAACTCATTGGCCTGCTCCTCAAGCGACTGTCGCTTCAATTGTGTGGTAAAGTACGGCGTGTCCCAGATCTCCACCAGCCCATTGGGCTGGCCGCTCTCCTTGCGCTTCATCTGCGTCATGAGCGCAAAGTCCGCCTCGGCGCGCGGACGCAGTTGATCCGACAGCTTATCAATGAATTCGCGGACTAGTTCTGGCCGTTCCATTGTGCTGGCATTGAGAGCACGATGGGCGTATGTCTCGAAGCCACAGCTCTTGGCCAGTTCATGTCGACACAGCAGCAGATCCCTCAGCAGCTCCTCCTGGTTCTCAGACGGTTGCAGGTACAATCGGTAGGCGGCCTCTCGCATCTGAACGTTCTCGGCGTTGGTGCACAAGCCAGTGATGATGACATTCTCCCCAGAGGTGGGGAAACTGTATGGGCATTTCATGGTTATCCTTCAGTTGCTCAGATTCTATATAAACTCACTAGTTCCTTATGGACTCTGGCACATAGGAGCGCGGCAGCACGGAGGGCTGGGCAGCTCCGTTCATGAACTTCTGGCCCAGCTGCAGGATGTAGTCGTTGAGACGCACCACTCGAAGGCGTTCCGCTTCCGGCAGGTGTATTCCGCACTGTTCAAAATCGAAGAGGAACAGTCTGGCCACATGTCGATCCACATCGGTGGTGGGCTTTAAGTCTCCCTGCTCCACCACCTTCCTCAGGGCCTGGTACAGCGGTTTGTGTGTATTCAAGCTGCGGTAAGAAACAGTTTTGAGAGGGCATATTTCTCTGGATGGGTATGGACTTACCTCTCCACCACACCGCAAATGCTGATGCAGGCCTGCTCCGCCGCCTCCATGTACTTGTTTTTGGGGTGGGCAATCCGTATGAACTCCGCCAGGTCGGCCACCTTGCACAGCGAGTCGGAGAGCTCGTCGAATATGTCGACCATTTTGCGCTGTCTTTGACTGGAGATCGCCTCTGCGATGAGATCCTGCGCCTTGTTCTCCACATTGTCCCTTAGCAAGTAGAAGCCTTCGAAGGTGCGCAGCTCGGGCATCCGGAAAAGGCCCTGTCCATGAACAATTGATTAGGATCTGGGCTCCCCAGGCTGCAGGATTTCATGGCTCACCACATCGTCGCGGGTAAAGTTGATGCGCTTCGACGGTGGCGCGTTGAATGCCGTTGCTAGCGGCGACCAGGTGGAGACAAGCCTCAGGTGCCGCACCCGCATCAGAGTGGCGCTGCGACTCATATGTAACATGATGCTTTGCTGTGCTGTGCTGTGCTGAGCTGCTTGAATGTGGGCCAAGCCAATGTGGATTGTTTACCTTCTTTCTTTCCTTCGTGTTACATATTCCCATCAGCTGTTCCTGCCAGGGCTGGCGCACCACATCAATTTTGAGCAAATAAACTAAAGCTGACATTGGAATATTGTTGGAAATTTGTCAGCAATAATAAAATGTAATCGCACAGAACAAGTCTCTGTCGTTGCTTGGGTGCGGGTGGAGCGGTGCCCGATCTTTGATCCCGGTAAAAGTGTATTTAAAGCTTCGACTTGAGTGAATCAACTTTTACCTTACCTATGGATTGACTGCGATTAGGGTTGTCGTAATCTTTCCTCACTAAACATTCGTTTACCAGAAATATGTGCCATTTCTTAGCTAGCCATTGAAAGCACTCGACAGAGCCCGCAACAGCGCAATCATGAAGAACACTGGGTATGTCTGCACACAATTGGAGAAGGGAGGGCAAAGTTGTTCAACAAGTTAATCTCTATAATCTATACAGCAAGCTGAGGGGCAAAACCTTATTCATTACCGGCGCATCCCGCGGCATTGGCAAGGCGATAGCCCTGAAGGCAGCTCGCGATGGGGCGAATATAGTGATCGCTGCCAAGACGGCGGAACCACACCCCAAGCTACCTGGAACCATCTATACGGCGGCTGAGGAGAGTAAGTACCGGAGAGTACCGCCATTTTTGGATGGAGTGGAGTTTGACCTTTGTATTTCGCATTAGTCGAGCGGGCTGGAGGCCGCGCGCTGGCCTGCATTGTCGATGTGCGCGATGAGAAGCAAGTCCAGCAGGCTGTGGAGGCAGCGGTGGCCAAATTCGGAGGCATCGATATTGTCATCAACAATGCCAGTGCCATATCGCTAACCCCCACGCTCGACACGGACATGAAGCGCTATGACCTGATGCAGAACATCAACACTAGGGGGACGTTTCTAGTGTGAGTGGGCCCTCCGGGCTTAGGCTTATCTATTGCTGGCCGCCAATCTCATTGCGTCCGATCAAACTCCACAGATCGAAAAGCTGCCTGCCGTATCTACTGAAAAGCGACAATCCGCACATACTGAACCTGTCGCCGCCGCTCAACATGAAGCCCCAGTGGTTCGCCAATCACGTCGCCTACACAATCGCCAAATACGGAATGTCCATGTGTGTTCTGGGAATGTCGGAGGAGTTACGTGACCAAGGAGTGGCCGTAAATGCTCTGTGGCCGCGCACAACGGTTCACACGGCAGCGGTGGAGATGCTCAATGGTCCAGAGGGGGCGTTGTATTCCCGCAAGCCCGAAATAATGGCCGACGCTGCCTATGCGATTATTAGTCGCGATGCGAGGGACTACACCGGGCAGTTCTTCATTGACGATGAGGTTTTGCTGGATGTTGGAGTGAAGGATCTTGCCAAATATGCCTGCTATCCGGAGAATATACATAAGCTGGCTACGGATATTTTTTTGGACGATACTGGACCTTTTGCTAAGTTGTAAATTTGTGTTATTTTATTGATTTATACTGTATGAATAAAGGGAGGATTTGGAAAACAGCCGTAACAGATATAACGTTTAACGGCTCGCGGAATTTGCCGAATTCGTTGCTCTTATCGCACAAAAATATCGATAATTTTCTGGTCAAGTGGACTAAAGTCCATTGGTATATAAATAAGTCTGATTGTGTCTATTATCACTAACCATACAGTACCATGCTGTGTGGTTAGTGCTATCATCAATTAAACCAACAATGAAACACAGTAAATTAAAACCATTTTGCTCCAGAATCCGAATATGTTCCTTCCCGCACAAATAAAAGTAACTATATCGATATATCGATAAATACATCTGTATTTCAACATCACATCCCTAGCATTGCATGTTGCATTTATTAAAACTCCGCGTGTTTTGTTATTCTTTTCGCTAACTTCCATAAAGTCGGCGAAGCAGCCAAGAAGTTAAATCACCGGAGAACGCTGCTGCCCATTTTCCAAGATAAGCCATCAACTTGTCCTTGTAAAATAACGCGTATAGCATCTCGAAATGGCAGCGAGCGTCGTATATTTCCTTTTGCTAATTTCCGCGGCACACAAATTGATCGACGCAGCAAAACTAAACCACCCGCGCGTGCTGCTGCCCATATTCCAAGATAAAGCCGTCAACTTCACCTTGGAGGTAGACGAAAAAAAATGCTACAAATGGTGAGCGGCGTCTGCACGGCTGGACCGGCATTTTAACCTCAAATTAGCAGCCTTGACCCGACCGGACCGGACCGGCATTTTAACCTCAAATTACTAATTTATAAAAAATATCTCGCAGGACATCTTCCCGCCAAGACCTTATATCCGTGATGCCTGTGTACCATGGCTTCAGCGAATGCGCCTACGAGGCGGTCGTCACAGTGCGGACTCGCGAGCGACGCCGCAACACGGCCATCGTGTTTGCGGAGGAAGTGCAGACTGGTGCCATGCTGCGCTGCGACGTGATAGTGGACAACATTACCAGTCTGAACGTGCGGACTGCCACACGCCAGCTCTACCTGGAGGAGGCGCCAGCGATCTTCGAACTGCACGCCTTCGACTCGCAGGGCAACGAGTTCTTCACCCTCGAGGGCATCGAGTTCAACTGGGACATCTCGGAGCCTGATAGCAAAAAGCCGCACGCGATGCGGTTCCTCACCTTCTCGCAAAGCCCGTACCATACGGTGCCCCCAGCACTCGAGAAATTCGAAGCCGTTGGCATCAAGGGCTACATGATCCTGCTGGAGGGCATCAATACGGGCACATCAAAGATAACCATCACAATGCCCTATGCCGACTACAGCAATGTCAAGCCCCTGGAAATATATATCAGTGTGCTGGCCAATATAATTATCGAGCCCTCCGAGGCGACGATCCTGAACAAGGACGCCATTAGCTTCCGGATTCTCCAGCTGAAGATGGACCGGCTGCACGACATTACGGACAGCGAGCAGTACTTTCTCGAGGTGGAGGATGCCGAGGTGGCCGGTTTGAGAGGCAGCACCGCAACCGGAAAAACACTGGGGCGCACCCAGATCCTACTGCGTGACCGAAACATGCCGGAGACGGATAAGAACACCAAGGGCCCTAGCGCTCTCTTGACCGTGGCAGAGCCCCATAAGCTGGGCATCAGCCTCCTGCCGTACAACAACTGGGTGACGGTGAAGGGCGAGAGGCACGAGGTGGTCTTCGACCTTTACGCTCCAGATGGCCAGAAGGTGACTCTGGGCAGTCAGTTTGGCATCCACTCCCTGCTGGATGAGTCTCTGTTTGGCGTCATCGAAAAAACGAGCAACGGCAGCTGCTTGTACGGTGAAGCTCTGGAAAAGGGCGTCAGCACGGTCTTCGGCGCATACAAGGAGGTAAGTAAATGACAATTGCCCCTCTAGTTCTCTTCTGACATTCAATCCATTGCAGCTAAGGGTGGAGGCAGAGCTGCAGATATTCGATGAGCTGCTGCTCAGACCCACTAAGGTGATCCTGCCCTACGACCCGAACAGCATAAAGCCGCTCAAGCTGCAGTTCTATGCGGCTGGCGGGGACTACAGCTATGTGTGGCTATCCGGCAATCCGCAAGTCCTCCAAATCGATGCCCAAGGTTTGGCCACCACCGAAATCCGGGACGTGCGTCTCTCCACTGGCACGCAGGAGCAGCACGATAACGGAAACGTGCTGTCTGCCCACACCACCGTCAAGGTGGCCCTGGCCAAGAACCAGAATGTCGCCCGCTTGGCTCAAATCTACTTCCTTTCGCCGCAACGGCTCGAGATCAAGCAATATAACTTCGAGACGGCCCTCAAGGACTACGTGTTGCTGCATGTGGCTGTCTACGCGTATGCGAACGACTCGTATGTGCCGTACACCAACTGCGATAACTTGCACTTCCAGCTGGACTTTAGCCATCCCATCCTTCAGCTGGAGAGCAACGGAGAAGCTGAAAAACTGGCTCCTGATGCGTGTCATGTGCTGAGACTGCGGGCCACGGCTGTGGGCAGCACCTCGCTGCGCGTCTCGTACGTCTTTCAGGACAAAGTGCTCCAGGATACGGTCGATCTGCATGTGTTCGAGGCGCTGAGCGTTCTGAATCCCGTGGAGAATGAGGTGATTCTGCCCATTGGCGCGTCGCGAAACGTAATCTTTGTGCATGGGCCGCGCCGCATCTTTACCCTGGAGGCGGAGCTCACCAAGGCCACAAACTTCAACGGCAAGGTCATGAAGGTGTCGGAGATTCAGTTTGACACCCAGGACCCCATCACCGCGTTCAATGTGCTGTGCCGCGAGCTGGGCGAGACGGAGTTCACGTACCGTGTGTACAACAGCCTGGCCACGTCCAAATTTGTCCCCTACAAGTCGGAGGTGACCACCAAGGTGCACTGTGTGAAGCCGCGCTTCCTGAAGCTGTACGCCAGACAGGAGCTTCGCCAGTCGTGTCCCCTGGAGCACCGCTCCTCGCTGCTGTACCTCAAGAGTCAGGAGAACAAGTTTGAGATCGAGATCGAAGTGCAGGACGCCAAGAATCGCAGGCTCATGAACGTCAGCTCGCTGTGGCTGGACTGGGAGTTTGCCGCTGGCGACGAGCGATACCATGTGGACAACATTCCCCACCGCCAGCTGTCCGAAGTGGAGCACTTCCATGGCGTCAGTGTCCCTTCCACCGAACTCCTCGTCCTCACGCTGAGCGAAGTGTCGCCCAATTTCCGCATCAAGGGCACGGTGGTCCACTACAACGACAAGATGCTGGCCCAGCAGGACATTTACGCGGAACGACCTGCCTTTGGGGTCAAGAATGTAAGTGGAAAGAGACGCACTTGGACCTAGGCCCATCAGCTAACTGACTTCTCTTTCGCAGCTGAAAACGGGCGGCATTACTACGCCATTGATTGAGAACGAGATCCGGTTCCACACGGTGAACAGTACGCTGCTGCCGAAGGATCACATCAACATCTACCTGGCCCCCTCGTACAGCGAACGGATCCCCATTGCCCAGGGCAGCGGCTTCTTCCACATGGAGCTGTCCGATTCCGGTATCGTGAATGTGGTGCACGACGAGAAGGCCGGCTTACTACTGCTGACGCCGCTTCGTCTGGGCCATACGCGTCTCGAGCTGACTGACCGCTGTCTGCTGAACGAGCCCAGCCACCTGTCCATCTCCGTGGTGGGCATCGGCTCCATCAGCGTGGTCAGCATGGATCGGGTGGAGCGCACGAATTCCATCGAAGCGATTGTGAAACTCATCGACACCAACGACAATGTGCTGCAAGTGGATCCCCATAAGCTGGCTGTCTACGACCTCTCCGAGGTGGTCTTCGATCCGACCATATTGGGCGTGCGTGTGGACGAGCAGCAACATCTGGGGCCTGGCCAGATACGGTACAGCATCACCGGCAACAATATTGGGGAGACCAAGATAGTCTTCCAGGCCGGCAAGGGGTCGCACCTGGTGTCCAGCGAGCCGATCCTTGTCCAAGTATTTGCCCCGATCCGCCTGTACCCGCGCGACTCCACACTCGTGGTGGGCAGCAGCATCCAGATCTACTATCAGGGCGGTCCCCTGCCCAACACCAACGTGATCTACACTGTGGAGAAGGAACAAGTCGCGAGTAAGTACCCACTGTGGGTTCCTTTAGGGATACGAATGCCCCTAATCTCGTTTCGTTTTTTTCGCACAGCCATGAGCTCCGCCATTGTCACAGCCCAACGCCTGGGAGTCAGCAAAATCACCGGAAGCTGCCTGCTCAAGAACCCCGTCACTGGCAAGGACGAAGTCGTCTCCCAGGACACCATCGAGGTGCGTGTGTCTGCCCTGAAGGGTGTGCAGATCCGCACACCGCTTGTCCGCATCCGCAGTGGCGCCGTCATGCCGGCCACCCTGTGGGGCCAGCCGGACTTCTCGCCCATGGTGCTGGGAACGCTGAAGGACATGCGGATCACCTGGACAGTCAGTCAGCCGGATGTTGTGGAGATATTCAATGTGTTTACCGCAGCGGGTGGGTTGTGTTTCCTAATCGAGATACTTTTACATTTACAATTTACCGTGCCCCGATACGGCATTGCGGCCCAAAGATCTCAGCCCAATGCCCACCCAGTGCACGAAGAACGAACTTTAAATGTTCTCCGATGAGCCTGCACGGTTGAGTTCCAGTGCAGGAACAGATACGGAACATACATTTGTGTGTAACCTCTGTGTTGGACTCAAATACTAACATTTAAATTTTGGTTTCCTTGACAGGAATCGAGTACCAGAGCGGCGACCTAATCTCTGTTCGTGTGCGCGCCTTGAATCCCGGCAAGGTCACAATCACAGCGTCTGTGAGTTTGGCAGATGGTACAAAGCTGCCCGCCTCCAGCGTGGAGTTAATTGGTAAGTGCCCATTCGGCCGAGCCGGGCCGGGCCGGGCCGGGCCTCACTTCTCTTACTCTCGTGACCGCAAATTGAAAATGTTATCACAGTTTTCAAAACACTGGAGCTCCTCGGACCCAAGCCCATTAAAATGGACTCGATTCTGGCGGCGCCACGCAGCACGCTTCAGTTGAAGTCCAATATGGGCGATGCCGTCTATAAGCTGGATGAGCAGAGCAGCGGCATTGTTAGCGTGACGCCAGATGGCATTGTGCACACGAAGGACACCCTCGGCCGGGATCTGATAATTGTAAGTATGTATGTGTGTGTGTGTGTGTTTTGCTGCTTATGTGGCGCTCATGTGTGTGTGTGTGCGTGCGTGTGTGTTTTGGTGTGATTTTGGAGTAACAAAAGCCAAAATCGGCTTATTTTGAAATTCCCTAAATTGCATTTCCTTTGTTGCGTTCAGGCCAAAACCGTTGACCAAAATCTGCCCATCGGCATTGAGGTGAAGAATGTGCAGTACATCCTGGTCTCCCTGGTGCCCCACATGAAGTTCAAGAAGCTCGAACACAAAATCCCCCGCGGCATGAATTTCCTGTTCAAAGTGTCGCTGCACGACAATCTGGGCAACGAGTTCTCGCACAACATCGAGGACGCCAATGGGCTGCGCTACGAACTGGCCACCAAGGATGTGGTCGATGTCCAGATCGACAATAATCTAACAATTGCGGTGAGTGTCCATTTCAGTGTCGTGGTCATTTTTCAGAACTTACTTAGAATCGGGCAACGGTTGTGTTCCCTTTCTGCAAGTTTTATGCCAAAACAAAGCACAGAAAACTTTACGCTGTGCCCGTCCTTCTGGCAGGAGAGATCAAGCGTCACCGAGTAGGCAGAGGCAAAGGCAGAGCCCGAGCCATAGCCAGAGACCGAGAAAGACTTTACTTTTGTGGTTTATATGTAAATTTCAACTTGAAGATTTTCGGGGCAACTTATTTCAATTTCTATTTGTGTGTGTCACCACGCCACACCACGCTCTGGCAGCAAAAAAACCTCTGCATTTTAATGCACTGGATAAAAGCGGAGCTCGAGTCAGTGACAGAGCGAGAGACACAGTCAGGGGCACGCTGCCTTGCCACCTGAGGCATGTGCAAGAGTATGAGGTGTGGGCTGCGCTAAAAATCTCCAAATCCGGCCGCATGGCACGTCGCCACGTAAAAATGCAGCACATGATGCTGCCCGACGCTGGTTGGGCTAAGGCAGGCGGATTTTTTGAGGCTCTTAAAAGTTGCGAGTGACCACAGACAGAGAGACCACAAGAGAAACAGCAGAAGCAGCAGAAGCACAAAATGAAAGCCCTGGCACTCTCGAGGCATATTCTCTGTACGGGCACATTTCTATTCCTAGCCGCCTTCGCATTAAATCCAAATGGCAGTCTTGAGTGCTGCACAATATTAATTTTGAATAACAGACTCGACTCGACTCCACAGCTTAATCTGCAACGGGAGACAAACAACATGATTTCCATCAGTTTAAAGGACTCGACGGGCGTTAAGCATGCTGAGGACTATATCAAGCTGTCCGTGGTTGAGTCGAAGAACATCTACCCCACCAAGGTGAGTTGGCTGTGCAGTTAATTTGCATCTGAATTGTGCAGCAGACACAACAGCAGACAACAGGACACCTGTCTTGTAATGCTAAACGTTTACCATAATTCAATCCGATTTCTTGTCTCTCCCAACTGCATGCAAAAACCCACAACTATTCGACTGCTGCAACCGCATGCACATCACATGCACCACCGCGACGACAACCTTCGCCTTTGTCCAACCTTCAACCAAACCATCCAATCCACAGACGATTTTCTCTGTGGGCGACATCATTTGCTTCGATTCACCGCTAACGCTGTCATCGATTTGGAGCAGCTCCAATGAGCAGATTGTGACGATTAATAAGCACACAGGTGAGTAGTTTGTCCTCCCCTCCCCTTTTCCCCATAGTTTGTACTCTCGTCTTCTCTGATTTTGATGATGATTACGATTACGCTTACGATTATGATTATGATTATGAGGATAACTATCTTTGATGGTCTGTTGAGTGTTAATTTGATGGCCGTATAATTCGGGATTTAGAATCGAGTTTTCATTGTCGCAAATTTATGCATGCCCTCACTGCCCGCCCGACTGTGGATTGTCGAGGAGCCGTGTTTGCACATTGCTGCATGCGCACAAATCCTGTAAATTGGCCTATATTTCACGTTCGATTTATTGATAACCCAATTAGGCTTATTTTCGGTCTGGTTTAGGAACAACAAAGCCCCCAAACACCAACAGCAGCCAGAGCTGCCCAAACCCGGCCATTCTCATTCTCTGGCAATAATTTGCATTAATTACTTGGCAATCGCGTTTCACTTTCCATAGATTGCCCATGGAATACGAGGAATGTTCAATTTCGTTCGTGGGGGTAATGGAGAAACGAAATTATGTCGGAGAATTGCTGGGCCTAGGCTAGTGGAGGTTATTGGATTGATTGAAACGTAATATAAATCTGCGAAAACGCGAATAACGTTCGCGAATAGTGGAAATCTTTGACGGATATTTGTGCAAGCTTATTTAAGGGATTATAATGTTGAAGGTTCCTCAATGGAAGTAATCTCAAACTTTACTCAAAGCAATACACCTACGGCCACAAAACCACGTTTGGTGTCCCCATGGACAGATTTTTTAATACGAGTACAGTGGCAACCAAAAAAAAAAAAAAACTCCCCTGGGCAAAATTTCCTTTGAGTTTAGAGTGAGATTCCTTTTTCTGTTTTGTTCCTTTGCTTAGTGGGGATATCCTCATCATACAGTTGTCCTTAGGCCAGTAGTTGTGGCAGTGGTAGTGCCAGTGCCACTGGAGTTTCCTCTCAAACGCTCACAATTCGAGTTGAGCCATTGCCGGCATACGGGTAAACCCCTTGACAAAATTCCCGACGCAAGCCAGCTAAGCGTAATACATTATTCATGGAAGAGAACATCTACCCACGCAACAAACAAATGGAGAAACGCAAAGGAAAATACAATTTTTCACACTTTTCACGTAGCAAGAAATAAAAAGAAAAGGTGGCAAAAGGCTGGGGAATAGGCAAACAGCCAAACAGCCAAACAAACAAACAAACAAAATGGAGACATTTAACAGGCAGCAAGCAAACCAACAGACAACAAAAAAATTGTAAGCAAGGCCAAGGATGTGATTTTGGTGTGGCTTGTGTAGCTCTTTTCAATACTATTATTTTTAACTGGAAGTTGCACTCAAGCATAAAGATAAAGTATCTATTGCCAGCCAAGAAGAAGAACTTACCAGGTGAATAACTCTGAAAGTTTCTGCCAATAAAGAGTCGTCCTTGATGCATCTTCCCGTTCCCGCAGACCGAAGCACAGGCGGTAGTAGCCTGTTTAATACTTTAATATGTACAATATATTGTACGTTTGTTTCTACTTCTCATACAAAAACTCACATAAAACGGATTTCTGAATGAAACGAGCCTGAAAAAAAGTTTAAATAATATGATGAGTTCCTCTTGCTTTCCGCTGAAAGCAGGCGAAAGCAAGACGCGACAGATGCCGTGATTTATAATCAGTATTACAATCGGATTCCGAACAGTTGCCAGAAGTCTACGCCAAGTCTATTCGGCGGAGTCGTATTCCACAATGAGCTTTGAAAAATGGAATCATTACCATTTCATCATCTGTGGATTTCCACTGAGGCTACGCTCCGAAATCATTAACGTGTTGATGGGGGGGCGAAACCCAAACTTTGCTTCGGGACGAAATAAAAAGTTTGCTCAAGTTGAAATCGGATCAAGTTCCTCGCATTTAGGCATTGTTTGTTCAGTTACTTGAAGCTACCCGGCCACTCGTATCTGGGCAAGGATGTATTGTGCTCGTATTGTATTCTACTATGTATGTGTTGTATGCCACTGGCAGGACAGAAGGCGAAGGATGGTTGGGTGAACTTATTGCACTTGTGCCATCTTCCACCCAATGATGCCCCCCGAAAAGGAAGCACATTATGTTGTACAGTTTTCTCTGGCTGTTTTGACACTTTAAAGTTTAAACTAAAGATTTATATGGATTATATCAATATATTTAGCACAAATGATATCGATTAAGATAATTAAAAATGCAATCTCTTCAATCTAGTAGCAGTATTTGGGTATTTCCTGAAAACTACTGGCGGGTATGTGGAATTTCCCACTTGTTTTCTTTGCATTATACAACAGACTGGAGCCCTAATGGAGTTCCGTGCAAACAGAGATGGAAAGTGGAATGGATGTGCATTTGTTTTACTCATTACACGATTAGAAACGGAAGTTCTTTTCTCAGTTCTTCTCATGGCCTGCTTCTGCGTGTCCCTTTAATTTCTCTCCCCTCGTTTTATGTTACTTATTGGCAATCGATTGTTTATTTCCTTTTCAATTTTCAATTGACCATTTCGCCTTTGTGCAGGGAAACGACACGAGATCCCCAAGCAATTTATACAGCCAATCTACGTCTGCAGATTAGTTTTAGTTTAAGTTGTTGTCGTTGCTGTTGAATGGGGAACAAAAGTGGAAAATCAAAGCCAGCCAGCCAGCCAGCCGTCTTGTGTGTCATAGGTTGGTGAGGCAGGAGGCAGGAGGCGAGGTACTGAGTGGGTAATTCCCCAAACAATTAGCCATCTGTTTTCTGGCCGTTGTTTAAAGTTGACTTGGCACAAACAATGAATAATAATCAGGCAGCAGCCATCACACACATATGCATAAGTATGCATATATACATAAATACATATACGTACATTATGCGTCCCTGGCCCAAAGCGATGTATCATGGGCAAATGTGTTATTCCGGTGAACAATAAATTAAATTGGCTCCTTTTGTTCTTGCATATTCAGTTTCAAATTGACTGACACCTGCTACTGCCTCTTTCTAGCTCTAAACCTAAAGCTCTAAAGCTCTAAACTGCATTAATAGAAGCAGGCATTAATTTTCGTCACATTACGTTTCGTTTAGGCACTGCCCGCGTGCTGAACCATCGCCACAAGTTGGGCGAGAAGATTGTTATCACCAGCGGCGATGAGGCCAACCGAGGGGGCTTCATCAAGTACGATCTGGAAGTGCGCGAATCGGATGCGGTAAGCGAATGGCTGCTGCAAATATGCAACTCCACTCACCTCCACTTTTGCCTTGCAGATTGTGTTTGCCAAATCGCTGGACATATTCAGCGGCTCCGTGTACCGGGGACAGTTGGTGCTGCGCAACCACATGCAGTCGGAGAAACACAGCAACCTGGTAAGCAGAGGGTTTGCCCGCCCGTTAGTGTAACTCCTGCTAAAGCTCTCTCATTCCCAGATCGCTCACAACTTAACAGAGTGTGCCGCTCAGCTGGACAATGTACCTATGGATGTCTTCACGTGTCGCCTGGTGGCCAAGGATACGCTCGGCCGCCAGCTACTGAAACTCTACAATGCACAGCCCACGTTTGATCCCAGCAGCGGGCAGTACAGCTGCCAGTTGGAGCTGCTCTCCAGCTTCAGCGAGCTGCTGGCCATCGTCAAGACCAATGATGTCTATTTGGATCTGCAGGTGAGTGCTCGTTGCTATAGTCTTCGCCAAGACATCAATATACTCAAACTATTGCTATACCCTTGGTTCTGCACAGGCGGCGATGACCAGCACCAGCGGCGTTTTGGATACCATGACACTGAAATTGGTGCCGGGCATTAAAGCGATGCCCGAATCGGTCCAGGTGACCGATTTGAAGCCACAGGAGCTGCACATTAGTGGGCTGGACAAGGCACTGAAGAAGCTGCAGGTGAGTGGGATGAAAGGGGGAGCAATGCATGCTTCGAGGCTGTATAGAGACGACGCACTTTGCTCTTACTTGCGAGACAATCATAAGTACAAGTGGGAGGGGCCAGAAGGAGTCCTACTCGCACTCGCACTTGCACTTGCAGTCTGTGCGGTAATAAAATACAGGAAATTGCTTTACAATGTACTCCACTGATGTTTCCAGCCACTGCCATCGCCAGTGGCTCTGGCGGCTTCTTCAAAGTACAATATTATGTACGACAAGCGCTGAGAGTGCTCTTCGAATTCAACGGAGCGAAGGGACGGACCAGCCGAATACTGTTCCATGAATTTAAAAGTTTCTGCTCATGAACTGTCTGTCCTTGCCGGCCAGGCAACCAGGCAACCATCCATTGTTGCCACTGTTGTTGGGCCGCAAGAAATGCCGCAAGTTGTAGTTGGAGCAGCCGCAGCGGCAGGAGACAAGGCATCACTGGTACCACAAGAAGGAGCGGCGGCAGCAATGCAATGTCAATGCAAGCCAGCCGCAGGCAGCAGGCAGCCAGGCCACATAAAGCCACCCTTCACTACCCATTGGAAGACAGAGCAAAGCAGAGCTAGCTGAGTCGTCTCGCCCTTGTCTGAAAAATGCAAAATGACAGCATTTTGCTTGACTTCCGTTTCCGGCTAGCTTGAGGCTTTATTTGCCCTGGCATTCAGTAAAATATTAGCTGCATTTGCAGCAACTCTAATTACAGTAAAGTGGCCATTTGAGATATTCAAGATAATTTGCATTTTCGGACAATCCCGAGCGACAGCAACATTAATGCTGCTGACTCTGGGAGTTTTGTGGCTTGAATTTAGCCTAGTGATCTGGCTGAGGGATGCGGAGCGCTGCATGCTGCATGCTGGATGCTGGTGGTGATTGGCACTTGAATGCTCAGTTCGCCACTCAAAGAGCATCAACTGCAACTTGAATGTTTGTTCTGGAGTGGCCACTGGAAGTGGATGGGCGCTTAGCAGCTGTCATCGAGATGCAATTGCCATTGTCCATTCGGACAGTGGGGTGCACTGCATTGTTTGAGCTGTCTGTGTTTTGTCCCTCTGTTTGTCTCTGGTGCAATTGAGCGTTTTATTGGTGCAGTACTCATCTGAGAATCGGGGGCATGCAACTCGTCCACTAAATCCTACTGTTCCATACTCTTCCCCGATGGCGCTGATCGCTGATAAACACGGCTTTAAATGGTTTGCTCTTGATTATTATTAATTAATTATTTTAAAGTTGATGCACCGGACAGGCAGCGTCATCAACTTCGGCACACACACAGGAGACAGACCGCAGAAGACAAATTATGTGGCTGTCAATTTCAGTGCTCTCGGCACATTTTATTAAAATTTACATTCTCAAACAGACGACTGTGACCGCACTCCTCCCACACGCGCGCACTCAGATTCGCCGATGGGTTTAATAAAAAATACATTGGTCTGCATAATTTTAAATTAATTATTCAATATTCCCTTTCGTGTATTATCGATGGACTAATAAGGAGATTTTTCAACGCGTTTCGCTGTTGCTGTTGTCGGTATGACGACACTTCCGTTTATTAACAATGTCGATATTTTTTGTCAAGTACTTATTATTATGCATTAATATAATATAAATATGTATCATGCATGTGTGGGACTTGTTCCGATGTCAGCAGTTGTTCTCGATTCACATCCGTTGCCGTAATAACTTATTTCTCCTTTATTTATATTTTATTCCTTTTTCTACCTATCCATTGTTGGGGGTCTCAAGGGCATATTGGAATGAAAATTGTGCTGAATGAGTAGCATACATGCGCGTGCATAAAAAAGACTATTTTTTGTTGGGTTTCATCCCCTTTCTTCGGCGAGTTTGTCATATGCAAGCATTCAGTTCTTGATCCCTAATATGAAATAGCCAGAGCTCTGCCATCTCACACGCTCTAGAAAGCGTACAATTTAAACGGTTGCCTTCTCTTTTGTTTCCCTCTTAATAATGCCTAAAGTCCAATTAAAACCATATAATATTTACCAATTGACAATTACTTTAAAAAATAATATAAATTACAATAGTAATCGCATGATTTATGGATTTTTTTTCAAGTGCAGGGAAACCTACTGTCGAGCACAATGACTGCCACCACTACCCCCACTGACTATGCTGTAAATTGAATAATTAATTTCAGATATTATTAATTTAAATGTAGCATGTAGTAATGCACAAACAGATGCGTTTGTGTTTGTGTGCGTGTGTGGGGCAATAGATTAAAGTTCATTTGGTATATTTTCCCTCTCTTGATTTGCTGCTACAAAATGATTCGAAAAGCTCAGATACTTGTTGATCAGCCTACAACTTCAATTCTTATTCTTGTGCAAATGAAATTTGATTTAAATATTTATTCAAGGCTCGAATTGTTGTGCTGCTTGCTGCAGCCTTTCATTGTGAGAGTGCAGAGTGTTGGGCAAATATTAACAATTTCCAAAAATGTTTGCCTGTTCTGCCGTCTGTAGCTTAGCAGGCCGTAAAGCAAGAATTTTGAGATGGTCCGCCAGTGTCCAGTGTCCAGTCCTCCAGGCTGCCATTCCCCCTGTGCGACTGGCCCCCGGCCATAGAGGGGCAGTGCCTGAAACCGAATCTGTGTTCAACATGCAATTTATATTTCAAGTTTCAACAAAATGCACCCAGAAGTGTGTTCTTTGTGCGTGACATTTCTTTTAGATTTTATTTTTAATTAAATGATTTTGCGACACATTCAGATATCAAAGTGCATTTCAACACAATGCAATCCCCTCTCCCAGAGTTTTCCATTCCAGTTCCCCCTGGTCTTCCTCTTTGCGTTGAATGCTAATGAGAGCTTATTGAATTTCCTTGGCAGCGTTTAGCATGAAAAATGGGGAATAGAACCATGTTGAATAGGAAACCATAATAAATATACATACATACATACATGCATACATATATGTACACATGTACAGTTTGTCCCGCGTGCATAGTCGCATATTTAATCGATAATCTAAATGAATGAAATAAATGTATTTAATTTAATCCACGGACAGGTCAAACCATCGAACAGCAAATACTTTTCAGTGGATTTCATTGAGCACGGCCATGGCATCAGCAAATATCGTTTGCGATTCGTCGAGGACTTCCCGATGGATGAACACTTTTACGCATTGATCGATTCCCCGGAAACGCAGCAGATCCTTGAGGTACGACATAACATATATGACTTCGGCGCTGTTAAATCAGAATCTATCAATATACATAGCAAAACAATAGACTGGGCAAGGGCGAACGCAAAGCATAGAAGCATGGACTTCAAAGTGTTGTGCCAAAGATACCAGACAACAGGATAACGATTTAGTAATATTTCACCAAGAGAAGAAAAATGCTTGCACTACGTGTACGTACGTATGTATGTATGGTCCTGGTCCTTGGGTATCCTTTGGGCATATTGTTTTCGCGAACGGATGTAACGGCAGAGCCTGTCCCTCTTTCTACATTTCCTCAAGATCTATGGCCGTTTGAGTGTCAGGATGTCAGACCCTAGAAGAGGAGGGCCGTCATAGCTGCCGGGCAAATAAATCTGTAGTATCAACAGCTCAAAAGCCAAGGTCGGGGGTTCTACTCAGCGAGTATCCTCTAGTCGGGAAATGGACTATAAGATTGCTACCATTTTGTTGTGTGTTTGTTTGTGCTGCGTGTTTTTCAATTTGGTAAATTTTCTTGCACTCTCTCTTGCAACTTGCAACAGTCGTGGCTGCAGTGGCAGCAGGGAAAAGCACAAATGTAAATACTACGCTGCCATTCCATTGCCATGGCCATTTCTCATTCGCTACCTGATGCCATTAGATAGTGCAAACACGCTGATAGCCAGCCGCGTATCAATTTGTTGTTGCGGAAACTTGTTCTACCCCCATTTGGTGGCGCCTCGAAGTGAATTACAAATGGTCTTGCTGGCAAAGCAAACGGAATCGAATAAATAAGTTTCGTTTATGCACCCCAAGCATGGTCATTGCAACTGACCGAACAAAAGACAGCAGCAACAGCAGAACCAACAGCAACAACAGCAACAGTAGCAGCAACAACAACACCAACGGAATGACATCTGTCTTGCTCAACCTTTGGCAGAAATTACATAAATTTCTGCTCTTCCCGACCCATAAACGGTATCTGCAACCGTTTGGCCTATAAACAAAGGCAGAATCGTTAGCTTTGGTGGCTGTGTCCTGGCCATTGTGGCACCCAACACTGGGGGACGTTGCACTGCCAATAAATTTTGGCCCATAAGTCGATAGAACGCTTGTTGGGTCATTCGGAGAGCAGCGAAAGTATCCTGCAGATGTTTCTGCGCGCATCGCCTGAAGCTAACTTCTGGTACAGCATTTAAAGATGATTAGTAGTGGCCAATAGGATAGCAGTAGTGTGGTCAAGGATTGACATTATATCTGCTTATAATTCCGTTTGCTTATTTGTCATTACAGGTGCCCATTGTGGGCACAATGCTGGCCCAGAAGTGCTCGGACCGTCCGTATGGCGGACCCCTGGCCCATCGTCTGTTAGAGAATATTGGCTTCCTCGTCACCACGACTGTGATAGTAATCATCTCGATATGGCGTAAGTATATACACACATACATACATAATTCATTCTATTGACCGAATAAATTATGCACAAAACTAAATGCGGCCCGTAGTGGCTTTGTTAGAGCCGAAGCATCATAAATCATAGGAAAGGACTGAGTTTGGAGTTTCAAGTTGCTTTTGCTGTTGCTCTTCCTCTTAGAGCTGCTGCTGCTGTTGCGGTTGTTTGCAGTTAATCGCAAATTCCATGAATTTTTAATAAGCCCCTGGCTGGAAGAAACGGAACTGGAAGAAGATCTGGAACTGGCGCTTGAGCTGCGGGCCACAGAGAGAACGTGGCATCCTTGAGCGCTATCCTCTGACGCAGACCTTTTCAGTGGCGACGTAACCTGTGTCCTGCGTTTGGGACATCGCTTGGTTAAACCTTGGCCATTTTCCTGCATTTTTACACGCGCAGCAGCAGCAGCAGCAGACAGCACGGCAATCGAGTTGAGTCTGGGGTCCGAAAGTTGTGGCAAAGTTTCCCCTTTTAGGACTCGCTCTTTTGCCATTTTTCAATGTACTTCTGGCTTGTTTGCCCCAGCCCCGTAGGGCGTTCAGTGGGCGGGGTTCTGATAGTTTTGTGTTATCGTTTCGAAAACACTTTACACCCAATAAAAAAGTGAACAACACAACACAACAAAAAGCCCAAATAAAAAGAGTCATGGCTAACCAGCATGGCTTGGCTTGGCGCTTACCTTGTTCGCTTGCCAAAACTCCCAAAACTGATAAGAAGTTTCGGTTCTGTTTGGCTTGGGATAGTCCTCCCGCCCACATCCTGAGCGGGTGCGTAAACAACCTCAGCAAAGTAGGAGGAGAAGCAGCAGCAGCAACAGCAACAGCAGACTACATCCTTGATTAATTGCATCTCCCATGCATGTGGGGGTCCATAGAATGACGCTGCGCGTATATATCGCCAAAACTTTTATTTCTATTTTTTGCGGCAGTATTCTTTCTTTTGCTCACTCACCATCTCCCACCATTTCTCTCCCTCTCTTCGTCTCCATTGCAGTGTACATGTCTTGCTTCCAATCGCACGGCGTCACGCAAGTCAACTCTGAGGGTAAGTTTAATTAATAATTTTGAGTGCGCACAGCCCCCGGCCCATCAGCAGCAACAGCAGCAGGAGGAGGAGAACGAGTATCTGGCAGAGAAGTAGCTCCAACCGGAGATGAAGGCAGGCAGGCAGGCAGGCAGCAGCAGCAGCCACGCACAACTTTGGCTACACTTCTCTATTAGTTTCAAGTTTTTAGTCATTTCGTGCATGAATACCAAAAAGTTTCGGGCAGCGCCCGCGATGGCAACCCGAGCGATAAAAGGCGCCGTCTTTGCACTATCATCATCAGCAGCGTTGGCAGCATTTACAGAATTTCTTATTTATGACTTGAACTTTGATTTTCAAGCAATTTTTTGTGGTTGCGCCCATCGTGATGGAACTGCAGAGTGACCCACAGAAAGGGGATGGATGCCTGCTGATGCATCCGCTCAAAGCGTGCTAATCATCACTGGCAGCTCATTCAAATGCAAAGCACTCAAAGGCGGCCCTCGATGCTAGTCGGAGTCGGAGAGTGCACTCTGTCCAGAAATCTAGAAATCTAATCTAGATATAATATACTAGAGTTCAAAGGTTTTCCTCTGGAAAGCTTTGCGCTCGGAGGTCTCTTGCTTTTTGTCAGCTTTCTCCGCAACGGAGCCTGCATTGCGCACTCTCGAATTACCTTAATTACAAAATTAGTCTAATTACTCAGGATTTCTCCCAGCCCCCCTCCTCTAATGAGGGGCTGGCGAGGTCAGCAAGTCGACCCACTGGCTGCCCTGCACGTAATTTTCACAATAATTTTAATAGCTAAATTATTTGTTGTTCCGCCCAGTGCTGGCAAAAAATGCTCGATAACCTCTCCTGCTACACCCAAGTGACTACCAGGCTACAAGGACTAATTACATGCTTGGATGTTGCCTCGGCACGAGTGCGGGTGTCGATGTTGCTCCCGAGGAGAAATTCCGCTTTCTATGTTTTGAGCCACATTTTTTTCTATCTTCTTGCAGTTTTCCAGACGGAGAAATCGAGAACTAGTCCCGCCGCTAGTCCGATATATGCGAGTCGAGATAATTCATTTGACGGTAAGTTGTGGATTATAAATAGAATGATTGATGGATACACAAGCTGTGACATGTGCTTGCTCTCTTTTCAGACTCGTCAATTCGTCGGAACTATTCTAGTAGCCGTCGGAGGAACATTATGGACAACTCAAAGGACTCGTATATTTACGGCAATCCGCGACTCAACTCCCCAAATAGATCCGGCAATTCTCCTCGCTTCAACTAGCTTGAAGTTAAAACAGAGGAAAGATATTGGCTTTGAAGTTTGGGAGGAACTATCTGCGATCTATCTGCGACTTCTCCCTTTATTTATGTTATATTATTATGCCATGTATATAAGCCTGCCTAGTTCAGTCCATGTTTTTGCTAAGGGGTACAAGCGGGAATTAAGGCTCCTCTCAAACTTCAAGTGCTATGCTATATATTAGGGAAAATACTTGAAGTTTGGCAGGAACCTCATGTGGCACTTGTTTGCGATTCCCCTTGCGTCTGTACCATAAGTACTATGTAGGTAATGTCTAGTCTGTAAATATGATAAGTGGAAGCGTAACACAGCCAAAGTACAATGTATATTTTCTCCAAAAACCATTTATCAGTTCGCTAAGAAGCATTTATGCTTTCCTAAAATCCTAAACTAAGAGATTGAATAAAATATTAAGAGTGAAGTGTGCTTGTGTTTAAAGCAGGAATCAACATTCAACGGGTTGCCTTTCGGGTAACAGCGATAGCCCACCGCTGGGCTCTTCAGGACCAACGGCTGTCGGGCACGTGCAAAGGCACTTCAATTACTCTGACGCTTTCCCACTTTCTCTTGCTCTCACCATCGCTGTGTGTCTCTAAAGTGCCATCGGAGTACTCGAGAAGAAATTTTTAAGCATTTTTTTTCTGCCGTGTTTTACCGCTCCTACGCTGAAAAGCGTGCTCCGATTTTTGTTATATGCATTTCTAATTAGAAAGGCATCAAGTGAAGTATGCCATTAATTTTACATTTGCGCATTTCAAGTGCGCCACGCCCACCCGCTGGCCACTTGAGAAATGGGCAAAGTACTTGACTGCAATTCCGAGTCTCTCTCTCGCGCTCTTCACTCTTGTTTTTCTTTTTGTGGCCCTATTAATTAGTTGCAAAGCTTCTCTGGAACAGTCAATGGGGTCAGCAATCGAATGAATCGAACTCTTTTGTGTGTGGGTGTGCTTGTGATGGAGGGACCAGCACCATTACCAGTACCAGTTCCAGTCGTTTGATTTACAGCTTAAGCTGGACGGCGGGGTTCTTTTGGGTTTTCCTGTCGCATATTTCCATCATTTTAACACAATTTGCTTGGCAGTGGAATGGAAATTTAGTTTCCACTCCCATAAATTATAAATAACTTAATCGTGTCCGAGCGTATTGAACCGTAAGGCCCGGCTGAGGCCTGTGACCCGGCATCGAATCTCACTTTCGGGATCTTGAGACGATTCCAGAGAGTTCGTCCCGGCGGCTGAGTCCTCTACGTTGATTAAGATGCTTCAACTTGACTTCACTCATGTGTTAACATTATGGCATAAGTAGTTATGCGATATTTTCAGCTTCCTCTCAGTGTGCTTGATTTGCTCATTTCCGGTTCACTGAAATCCAACTGGGGAGTATGTGTGTGTACATGCACACATTGATATGTATATTTCCATGTGTGTGGGTGGGTGTGTGTGTGTGTGTGTGTGTGTATTGGCAAGCGATATTCTAATCGGATTTTGTATGCTTGCCCGATGTATGAATTATGGCCAGACTCGCATGCGACAAATGTTGTGCATTTCTGTGCGCTGGGCCACTAAGCAAATGAATTATTAAAACAACAATTAGCAGCCAAGGTAATTATTGTATGTATATACTCGTATGTACAGTGAACGAGTATGTATTTGTACATGCATAAATAAATATCGAGTGTACAAACAAGCTCAAATGTTATTCCAAATTACTTGTACGAGCATAAATCAGGCCTTGATTATGATACATATACTCATATGTATAACAGTTGCTGAATTCATGACCCTAATCGGCTGCAGCAGTAAATTAACATTGAATTTCGTTACTTTATTGAGTACACGCCCTGCAAATCGCAGTACGACTTCCTCGCAATTTGATTAATCTGCCGTGTTGCCCTGTGAGGAACAGTAATCATTTCTCACGCTGCCTTTGATGTTGTTGCTTGCTGCTTTCTAATTAAAACGAAAGCAGCAGATAGGGTATCAATTAGACAGCCCAATAGGAGACTAAACATGCGCAGACTTTTCAGCTGCTGATGCTGCAAGCTCTAATTAATTACGTGTGCTGCCGAGTCCCCCATATGACTGACTTGCCCTTGCCACCACGCGTGTGTAAATGCGGGTTGTTTTCATTCCATTTCATATTTTGTCGAGTTGCTCTTCATACTTACTTGCACGTTACTCAAATTTTAACCACACCCAGCCTCAGAGAAATTTCAATTATTTTCTCCTTCAACATTTTACAGAGCTTGTGCCTTCCGACAGGAGGTGCAACATTGAACAATTAAATATGAAATTTTGTTTAGAAACAGAGCTTTAATGAGAGCACTTTATTCAATTTATGGCAGAATGGGGAATTCAGTGGAGAAAATTTGGAAATGCATTCCATGACACAATTTTCAACTGTGCCACAGGAATTTAACAATCGATTGCTGTTCATTTGGTTTGATACTGAAGTACAAATTGGCCTGGAAAGCTTTTAAGAATTGTCAAGGAGACGGTACATATTTTCCAATCTACTTCCAAAGCTCTTTCAGAGCATAATTTGTAATTTTAGATTGTTTTTAACATATCTTGTTCTGCCCGCGCTGTGGCGGAGCAATAAACTTGGGGCGACACAGGCCAGCCATTATAATGACCGAAACAGAAAATAAATGAATACAATTGCTTTATCTGGAGGCCATAAAAATACAATTCACAAAGGTGCGCTATACATAAAATAAAACTTAATACGCGAGTGGGTGAAATCACAAAATGCCTTCGATAATGTGGCACTGAGACTTTGGTGGTTCATAAACTTGTGGCTATAACTTAACTACGCCAAACGCTTAATATTCTATTAAAAACTAGCCAGTCAGACGTTCGATTTGGATGGTAGCATGCTTCATGTGGTACTCGGGACCGCAGACAAGCTGCGTGGCCAGCAGCAGGATATCCTCGCTGTTGCTCCTTGCCTCTGCAAAGGATGTGTGGCAAGTGGATTGAGATGGGATTTTCCCAACAGCGTTTTGGGGGCGGGCTTACCTGTGACCAGATGCACCATGAGTACTCGATGCTCGGCGGTGTGCTGCCACACATTCAGATGATGCACCGATCTGTGAAGGGCGGATAAGCACAGAGTAAATGATGAGCTGCTATCGCTTATCACAGGACACTCACCTCACACCCTCGAGGCTGGCTAGCTGCCGCTGCAGAGTGCGCAGAGAGAGGTTCTGCGGCACGGCGTCGAGCAGGATGGCGACCGACTCCCGGAAAAGCGGCACCGTCGTCAGAATCACAATCACCGAGAAGAGTAGCGTGCACAGTGGATCCGCATACTTGGCGCCGGGCTGTTCGGGTCGGCAAATTGAATTAGCAGAGAGAGAGAGAGAGCAGTCAAGGCGTGTAAATTAATTGACTTGTCGTCTAGACAGGGGGGGCAAGAACTCACGAAGAATTTGATTAGGACGGCGGCCAGAAAGACGCCAATGCTCTGCACCAGATCGCCAATCACATGAATCATGGCCGCACGCAGGTTCAGATTCTCCTCCATGTCCAAGGGCTGCGGAGGGCTCATCTGTTTGCTGTTGGTATGCGAATCGAATCGAATCGAATTAGAGTTAATGCAGTTTCAATAACAGCAGCTGTCAACTGAATTAAATTCGAATCGCTTGCAATAAAACAAACAATTGGCAGCAAGCCGCAGTCCGCAGAAGGTTTATACCCCATCAACCACGGCTGTTATTGCTAACTCGAATTCAAACACCGCTGGCCAATTGCTGTTTGCTGTTGCATTTGCAGACTCTGAATGGCATTTGAATCAATATTTACCCTTCATGCTTAGGCCGTCCCCCTGTCACGATGCGCTCGAATGGCTTCGAGCCGTTTGATATAGCCACATTATGGCCATTTGCAATTGTTGCTCTCGTCTCCTCGTTGGCAGTTGTCGTCATCAAAGAGCTTTCGCTGCCTGCGGCTATAAGCGAATAGGAGCCCGAATTGCAGTTGGAGTCGGAGTTGCTGTGACTGTGGATGTGGCTATGCCCGTGACCATGACTGTGGCCGTGTCCATGTCCATGTCCATGTCCATGACCGCCTATGCCCAACCAGTTGCCATGCAAAACGAACATCATCCTGGAAATAATACAATAAAGTCGCTCTTTAGATGAGTTGCAAAGGATTATGAGAGAACGCAGTGTACGGTTCTTAGCCATTGACTAATTGATTAAAATGAACTGTTAACTGTTAAATGTTTACTGTTAATATAAAGAACTCACACAATATTGATGGCAATGCCAATCCCTGATATGAACATCATCACATTCACATCCAGCTCAAAGTCCTGGGAATATATACGTTGAATGGCAACCACAACGAGTATGCCAGTGAGCAGCCAGATACCCAGTATGGAGGCCAGGGCACCGATAACCTCTGCAAATCGAGCATACAGAATCATCATGAAAATGGTGTTGAGAGCTGGCCAGGTCCGGCCACAGTTGGGGGGGTTGGGGGTTGGGGGTTGCCGTTGCTCAGTGCGATGGCAGACAGATGGATTTGCTTGACATAAATGCAATTATTGTGGGTCATACTTCAGGCCGTCAACCAGCTTAGGCGAGGGGGACCCAATTGCAGCCGAGGCTTTCTGAGGGATTAAATGGGTGGGTCTGGGGGGGTCTACGTGTGAATGCACCTGTGTCTGTGCGGCAGCAACAATCCGACAGCAAGTTGTCCACTCATTAGCATAGTGTCGACCCTAATTGGGTACTTACCATAGCGTTTGTATCCAAAGGACATGCGCTCGTCCGGCGGTCGGGTGCCCAACCAAATTGCAACCAGACCGATGACGAAACTAATACAATCAGTTGCCAAATGGGCGGCATCGGTCATAATGGCCAGGCTTCCGGCCACGTACCCGCCAAGGAATTCAATGATCTGCGGTCATTGCCATCAAGTGTGGTTATCGTTGAGCATCGTAGTTGTTGTTGTTGGTGTTGTTGGTGTTGTCGGGGAGGGGGGAATGAAATTTATCATAATTAAATCAACAATGGGCACTCCCCACTGGCACACAAGCCAAAGGATATATTTGTATGTGCGTAACCGTGTCGCTGTCGCTGTCCGTGTCCTCGTCCGTGTCCGTGTCCGCGTCCGCGTCCGAGCACTCACCATGAATATGCAGCAGAGGGAAATTGCGAGCAGAATTTTAAATTTGGCCTCCTGTGCCGATTTGCTCTTTAGGTTCGCCCCAAATCCCGGCTGGGAGCTGCGGCATTCCCTGTCCGCCCCCATCTCCATCTCAAATTCCATTCGCGCTGCAGTGTCATGCTCGTGCTCCGAGTGCTGCAAGTGACCGCACAAATTGCTTATAAATATGAACGTGTGTGTGTGAGGGGGACACTGCCGTGGGTACAGGTGCGGTCAACAATTTAGGGGTGCAAGATACCCCATCTATACACATACATATGTATGTACCATGTATTTGGACAATGCACCACACTCATTAAGATTTTTTTTCTATAATCCTACCGCTATCCTTGGAGTACATATTTGCAATTTGGGAGCCAGTCTAGACTCAAAATATATTCTATATTTTCTCCAAGTTTTCTTTTGATTACCTTTGAAATAAAACAGATTTTAGTAGCTCGATTTCTATCAATCTTTTTTTTGAAATCTAAAATTCTTTTGAAATAATATTTTAACCTTACGAAGGAAATGGATTAAAACTTGTAAGAAATGCATTAACCTACTATGTACTATCATGTTGATCCGAATAGTACGCGTGGTTGAGTATCTATGTACATCTGTGCTTTTGTATCTATGCATATAAATGGGGCGTGGAGCACTTTCGTTGCATACCACAGAGGGCGGCTAACTGCTCTTTCGGATACTGCTTTAATTATTAACAATTAAGTTTTGCTCACCAGATTGCTGGCACTTACTTCGCTGCCGCTTAGCAGCGGAACTTCCCACGTCTGCTCGTCCAGATCCCGGATAGCTTTACTTCCTATTCCTGCCACTCGATGGCTGCTTTCGAGGCTATTGTTGTTGTTGAGTTGGTGCGGTGCTGGTGCTGGTGATGTTGGTATTTTGGACTATCATTGGTCAGATGAGAGGCTCCTCTGGCAGGCTGTCTGCTGTCATGGAGCTCCTGCTCCTGCTCTGCACCCGACTGCGTCTGATTACCATCAAAGTAAAGCGTAAAACTCTCATCGTAATCATCTTCATGTGCCGTGGGGGCCTGGGCGCTGTCGAGCTTTTGATATTTTGACATGACCTCGGTCTTTGGTCTTTACTTTTGGTTTTGCGGTGTTCTTTGTTAATTTTTGTGTGTGTGTGTGTGTGTGTTTGTGTTTGGTGTGCTGTGTGTGTGCCTGTATCTATATCAGCCTTTGTTTAGTTTACACAATGTGAGCATCACATTTATCATAATTAGTGAGCGCACTGTGCCCCGGCATCTGTCAAATGAAATCAATCTAATTCAGACATTACTCGTATATTCGTGCAACTCCCAGCTCACGTTCTCTCAGTAAGTACATACATTCTGTGGAAATGTTTAAATGTTTAAATATATGAAATATATGAAATATATGTCTTGAAGCTTTTCTGCCTACTTAGTTCCAATTTCATTTGCCTTTTGGGTTCTCTATTCTAGGTAATTAGCCTCAAGGAGGACTACGGGTACGCAATGGCTTGCTGGGAACGATTAAGTCGAGGCATGAAATTTAATTAACATTAAATTAAAAGAGGATAAATATTAGCACTAAATTAAGCTACTTTTTCAGTATGTATTCTTTATGAATATCCATGATATGTGTTGCTCGATACTCGGGGATTGTTATACATTGTCTGTAATCTAGTTCACTTGTTCGAAGCTTCATGAAGTTGAACATAATATCTGGGTCCTATGGTGCTATCGTGTATATGAGTCGATTCGTTGACAGTTTCTTTTCAACCTTTGTTTGAATGCTTATCAGCGATAATTGGTTGTTTGAATGTGTGTACGAGTGGTGGTTATGTTTCTGGGCCTCTTGTTGCTGCTGCTTAAATTTTTTATCGTTTGGCTTTTTTTTATGTATGGTATGTATGTATGTGGTCGCTCACATTTGTTGCTCCACTGCCCTGGGGCACTTAAGTTGCGATAAGCCCCACGTTTCCCCCCATAGGGGCTGTCAATGCGGCAGCAGCTAAATTACTTGAAGACTTTGATTAACTTGTCGGGTCCCGTTGGTGGCAGATACACTGACACACACACCCACATATAGTTCAACATGCTTCAACTCACTCCGCTTGCTACCCCCCCTACTTCCAGTTGTCTCACAGACTGTTTTCTCGGAGAGGGTAGAAGTTTATTGAGGAGCAGGCACTTGAAGCATACATACATACATACATGTATGTATGTATGTATGGTATGCACATATATATTTGTCTGGCGTCTCTCGATAAACCAACACGATAAGATAAGCCTTGTTAGATCTGAATCAGCGGCGAAAGGGGTATCTGGGGGATCTTGACAGCTGAGAGTAGAAAAAGCTCGAGCGGAATTCTCTTGGAAATTAATAAAGACTCACGACAATTAAGGAACTCTATAAGTCTACTAGCTGGAGTTTTTCTGCGACTTATGTAGTTGGGTAAGGGCATGCTTAGAAGGCTCTCTCGTGGCTCTTTTTCCATGTAGGTATATATGTACATACATATGCATTTGAACGATGCGTTGGTACACAGTATCTGCACACAGGAATACTACATACTCATACTCGTATTCTGACTAATTCCCATTGAGTATTGATAAAAAATACGTGCGTCTGGAGTGTCAGCGTACTTCACATGCTCTCCCATGCCACCCGACCTTGCGGGCCTTGAACAGCAGATTTCGAAATGAATTTATTGTTGACAGTTGCTCTTTGATTTGTTCTTGTTTTCATTCCTATTTCGGTTTCATTTAATTTCCATTTATAACAGTTTATTTATGGGGCAGGCAGCGCATGGCAGAACTGAGAGACGAACGTGCTCGTGGTGGCTTCTCAGGCTCCTGGCATATTTTCCATTGTTATTTTTAGTATCAGAGAAATGGGAAACCGAAACCTATATCGGGGCTGGGGGAAAGTGACAAGCAAATCGAATTTGCATTAACTTTTCCCACACTGCCCCTGCTATGTGATCTCTGCTGGCGGTAATTGCATGAAAAAATTGCAAAATACTAAAAGAAAAACAAACACAGACAAACCCAGCGACTAAGAGCAGAGAGAACGTGCCATTGACCTTCTCAACAGGTTTGACTCTCCCAGTGCGTAATGAGCGTGATTAGCGCTCTCTTTGCCTCTGCTGCTGCAGATGCGATGCTGCTTGCACTCTGTTTTTGGTTCTACCCTGGCAGAAGGTACAATACAAATATGTGTGCCACACAGAGAAGAAACTAGTTTAATAAACAACCAATTTTATTTAAATAAAACCATGGGAAAATCAGTTAATTGTGAGTATATTGTTGCATCTGTGGACAAAGCCGTCAAAAAACTTCACATATAATCCAAATGGAACAGTGGAAACGAAAGGGCATGCAAAGCTTCGGCACCCAAAGCAAGTTTTTGTTTCTTGTTGTTGGTGTTGTTGCTGTCTGCCAGCACGTGAAGCCGGCTGCTGAGTCAGAAAGATTGGAGTAAAACGGAGAGAGCGCAACAGCAATCAAGGGCAAGGGAGTGAACGAACCCAAAAGCCTAAAAAAGCGTATATACTATTTGAGATATTCCCATTCTTGCTGATTAGAATTCACTGCATTTTTCGTTTCGTTTGCTAATTCGCAGCCCTCGAATGTTTTTTTTTTGATTTCTTATGTAAACACCGAGATATGACGAATAATATTTACAGTTGGGTAGGCTTTGTTTTGTGGTTTTTTTTTTCAACTTTAAAGTTGTTTGTCGGCTGCGATCAGCACTTGTCACCGGCTGACAACTGAGAACTATGGAAATTTACACTCTGCACATTGCAATTCACATTGATAGCGGTTTTTAGATAACATTTTCTATTGCGTTTCCTTCGAGACCCGTCAAACTTTTTTGAATTTATTAATTTACGATCGCAAGTCGCAGCATTTTTTTTTTTTGCCGCCAGAAAACGAAGCGCGCACGTTGTCAGCGACGCGTGAAGTTCAAATAATCAGCGACTACGGACAACGTCGACGCAGCCGACTACAGTTAGCCCAGACAGAGAGAGAGAGGGAGAGGCAGCCAAAGATAAAGAGCGTTAGCGACTAAATAGAGAGCGTTGGGGGCTTTTTGATTGCCTCCAAAATGACTCGCGCTGAGAGGTGGCGCATCTAATGTTCTGCGCCAAGATATATTTATTCAGGGTGAAGGCATTTAAGTCGCATATTCAGTTGGCTCTCTCCAGCTTTTTGTGTCACTCTGAGAGCATAATATATTAGATAAATAGAGAAAATATACCATATATCGTTTACACGAAACAAAGGCGGCTATTTTGTATCATTCTTTTGAGGAATTTACGTAAAAGATGTCTCATTTGGAGTGCGATCAAGTACAGATATTCGTAAGTATTAATGTAATGCAAATTGTATGAATAAAAAAACAATAGAGTGATTATTTAATATTGCCCAGTGCATAAAAGCAGCATTTAATATAATTATTCTCGGTGATTCTAGAGAGAGAGTATTCTAGTTCTAGTTTTAATATATTCTAGTGGGAGAGTACTCTCCACCTTATCAACAAAATACCTTGATTCTGATCGCTCTTTGAGCGCTTTTGTCCCACTTCGAGTGACTCTCTCCGTTGGGGCCTCCCATAAGGGACAGAAGATCAGCTCCCAGTCTGCCTTTGTCACTGTTAAAAAAGTATTTTGCTTGATTTATTCGCATTGTGTCGGCATCGTGTTAGTTCGGAAAAGTGTTCATTGCCGCTGATCGGTAGGTAAACAATTATCCATTTATTTGCATTCGTTCGAGTGTCGATAAACAAAGCACATACTGACTGATAGAGGAGGGGATCGCCGTGGTTTCTGTAATGGATCGCAAAGCCCATTCCGATTGTTTTCTTATTTGCGCATCCAGAATGTGCAAACATACATATGTACACACATATAAATAAATAAATAAAAATGTATATGCAACGTACAATTAATCTCAATTCAATCAATCGGGTTGCTGAGATAGGGGATGAGAATGATGTGGAAAATAGTACAAAGTACAAGTGCATATGTGTATGTGTATGATACATAGCAGAACAAATAATTTAATGCATATTTATGTACATGTTCATGTATGTATGTATGTACCAGACAAATGAATCAGCGAATCAGGTCATAAAACCAAAAATTATAAAGCCACTAAAACCCTTAATTTAATGGAGTTAGTTGAACTCGAGATTAATTTCCTAGTCGGAGGATAATTATAGGAGGATAGTTGTAGCAGAAAAGGAGCCAGAAATTTAAATTTAAGGAATAAGAAACTTGGCTATGAAGGACAGAAGTACAACGAAATTATTTATTTATTTGTTCCCTTAAAGTGGTTCAGAAAATGAAGAAAGTAAATCATTGACGCTAAGTAGGTTAAAATATGCAGTGCGTTTAAATATCAAGTTGCGGATAAATCGTTTACTTTTACTTTCTGATATCTTGCCCGCTTTTGTAACTGATATTTTCACTTTACCAGCTGAATTTGGAGATAGAAAAAACGTTTTACGGCCTCGCCAATGGCTTTATTTGAGGCCCAACGTTTTACAAAAATACCACAGAAAAGATAAGATTTCAATTAATAGCTGAGCAGCTTAAATGCCCGATTCCTGTCTTTCGAGTCCTGGCTCTGAGTGCTCTCACACAATTTTGGGGTATTAGGTTGCCCGGAGGAAGGAATCGCCATAACTTGAAAATTGCTACTTATCGAAATTGTTGAACACGAAAAGTACAATAACACTGGCGGTCCCACCAGGGTGAACCACCACAAGATATGGCAATGTGTGGTCTGTCTATCTGTCCCTGTCAGTCCCTGTCTGTCTGTCTGTCTGTATGTTTGCTTACCTGCCTGTCTCACTCTGTCACAGCCTGTCTCCGTCTGTTACAGCCTGTCCCCCAAGATAAACCGCAGGAGAAGGAGCGTTTTGAAGCAGAGCAAAATAAAAATTCTAAAAATAAATTAAATTTTCTAGGAATTCCTTAGGCATTACAAGGGGGATTCGGGTACGCTGTAAACACAAGTCAGCGCTGTTGCGTATACGCCCCATTGGCATGGCATTGATGAGGAGGTGGATAGGAGCAGCAGCAACATCAGCAGGAGCAGGAGCTGGAGGTGGAACTGTCTGTCAGCGTGTCTGACGGGTTTCTTAGACAAGTCAAATATCTTATGCAAACGCTTCCTTCGTTGCCACCCATTTCGTGTCTGTCTGTCTGTCTGTCAAGTACATCTTCCTCTTTAGCTCGATTTTGCCTTGGAACTATTGACGCCTAGCTGGCATTGATGATGTTGTTGATTGCGTTTGTTTGTGGGCTGTCTGAAATTTTTACCTCAGCTATGCTGTGCCTTCGGTCCTGCCTGCTACTGCCACCCACCGTGTGTGTGGGTGGGTTCGACAATCAGTTGCCAGGTAATAATTTGTGTATAGCGGCAGGCTAACGATAACTGACAAACATGAGGCACAGATTAAACATTAAACATTTAACTTTTGAACCTAATCGCATGAGAAAATGCCATCAGTTCACTGCCACACACCCATGTGTACACTGTATTTACTACGTATAATTAGGAGAGCAAACAGATTACGCCTCCGGCATGACATCGCTACTGTGCCCAGCCATAGCAACGTTGTCTGGTGTTCTGTGAGCTGGTTGGGCTGCTTCACCATCGAGTCATAGACAAACGGAAACATCATCCAGCCGCGTAACGAACGAAAATAAGAAGCCACTTTACCAGCAAAAAAAAAAGGTGAAACACATCCCGACGTACGTATCATGTGTTGGCCCCGGTCCATTACTGCGGAGGGTAGCAGGCTGGCCCGGGCAGGTGACAGGCAAAGTGAATTTAACACAAGCTGCCTTAAGCATTTGAATGACTTTGAGGCCCCCCCCCCCTTGAGAGTCAGTGTGTGTGTGTGCTCGTCTTTGATTTGCCTCGAGGCAAGAAGGAGAGACTTCACTGGACAGAGAAACCACCAACGAATGCGATATCCTCTGTGCGGAGATGATCTCAAAAGAAAGCTAAGGGAGCAGAAATTATCAATGATCAATGGTTTTGATTTGATTACTAGTATATCTCAACCAAAAAAAATATAATAGCAATTTTATTTCAGACTATAATGGTTCCACAAATAATCATATTATTTAGTATTGGAATAATATAAGTTTAAAGTAAATATAAATACTTGTATAACTAAAATTTTGATTTAGAAAAAGAATTTCTAGTTAGTATTCACAACATATAGTAAATATGCATAGCTTAATTTTGTCAGTGTACCTTTTTTTTTCGTCTTGTGGTGTAAGCCATCCCCTCAAGTATGTTAGCCTTCCAATGGGTAGAGACTTTTTGGGATTGGCTGTTGATTAGGCTGTCGCGGGCATCCATTGACACCACTGAGCCTTTTTCTGCTCGCTTTTTCCAGAGAGCCATAGGACGTGTGGAGCTTTTTGTTTGTAAGAGTACTGTACATATGTACATATGTGCGTGTGCATTTTTCGAGCTTAATTGAAAATTGAGCGCTTAACTTTGATTTTGCTTTCGGCGATATCCGACTCCGCCAGCCCCATGGTTGACTGCGTGACTGCCTGACTGACTGACTGAGTGAGTGGGTGAATAAATAAGTGAGTGTGGGACGAGAGAGAGTAGCTGGGTGCTGTGCCTGAGTGACTGCCACCGTCCGTCTGTCTGACTGTCTGTCTGGTGCGATTGTTGATTGTTTGTGTGCGGCGTTTGGCACGTCGAATTTTACAGATTGTCACATACAAGGCTCTGCAAACACACACACACACATACATACATACAACTGTATATATGAATACTATGTTTATTTTTGAATTTTTTCTCAATGGTCGTATATTTTTTACACACCCCTCTATCACGATTTTTTTGTTATATTAACATCTTGCGTCGCACACCCCATGCCACATGGGAATCCCATTTTTTTGTGTACACGATACTTATAGACTATAGAGTTTATTCCATGCAATGGAAATGTATGTGACAATCGGAAAGAATCACTTTCAATGCCATTTACTGCATATTTTTCGTATGATTTTATTTTTAAATATCCGTCTGTACGCTTGTAAAAACTTCTGTGACATCAGGTGACGGTCAAGAAAATTTGTTTGGTATAAATATACAAAATATACAAATATTACAAATAGAGTTGCCTTCGAAAAATTATTAAATCCAGAATGGGAAAAACAAGTTCCCAGGCCACCCTAAGAATTACTTCCTAATTTTTCTTTCCCACTGGGTATCAAACTTTCGGTGCACTCGTCTGAAGGGTTGCCTTTTTCTATTTTTGAGGTTTTTTGCAGCTATAGTTTGTTTTAAAATTGACAAATTGACTTGCTGCCCGACCTATCCACCTCCCCTGCAGCGGCTGTTTTTGTTGTTGCTGCTGCTGTTGTCTGGGGGCATGCTGTGTAAAGTGAATTTATTAAGCACTTTAGGCTGCATCGACCTTTAACCGGCGAGTCGTTCAAATCGTTGAAAATTCAAATCGAATTTAGTTTTGCTCGTAATCGTTTGATGGGGGCTCAGTGCTGGCAGAGGCATGTGTAAGCACGGAAAAGAGAGCGCACATTAACACTTCCACACTCCCTAGTCTCTCCTCTCCCGTTTTGTTTTTTTTTTGACACATGCAAGTGAGTGACTCGGTTTTTGGTTACTTTTTATATGTCTACACCACTGCGTGGGTGTGGGTTAGAGTGTGTCTTTAAATATGTATGAAGCAGTGTCAAAACATAATGTGTTTGTATTTGCATTTGGCTGTTGACCGAGGTATATTTGAGGATGTGTCCGTAGAATCAGGTCAGACAACCTCGTAGGAAAATGACAGCAAATAAATGGCCCATGGCAGAAAATAAATAAAGCCGTATACTCGTACTATATGTATATACTGTGTGTAAAGGTATCTGGTGCAGGGATGTGAGCAGACCGCAAACAGTCCACTGCCCAA